CCACTCTTTTTTCCCGTCATGCTTGAAGATATTGATTTGATAATTGGTATATAGTTTTATCAAGACAAGTTACAGATCAAGTTCGAATTTTTTTCCGTTCTCTTAATTTTTTATGCCCCCGCCGTAGCGGTGGGGGCATTAAGTTTTACCCTTGTCCGTCTGTACGTACGTCCGTCCCTACGTCCCAAAATTGGTTTCCGTTCTCTAACTTGAGTTTGCCTCAACCAAATGTTATGAAACGTATACACAATGCTTATTACCACAAAATACAGATCAAGTTTGAATTTTGGTGGCGTCACTTTAACCGTTCTAGAGATATGCCCCTTTATAAATGGAAAAATTGCAAAAATTTTAGTTTCCGTTCTCTTACTTAAGTTTGCCTCTACCAAATGTTATGAAACTTATACTCAATGCTTATTACCACAAAACACAGATCAAGTTTAAATTTAGTTGGCGTCGTTTTAACCGTTCTAGAGGTATGTCCCTTTATAAATGGAAAAAGTTGCAAAATTTTTAGTTTCCGTTCTCTTACTTAAGTTTGCCTCAACCAAATGTTATGAAACTTATACACAATGCTTATTACCACAAAACACTGATCGAGTTTGAATTTTGGTGGCGTCGTTTTAACCGTTCTAGTTCTGCCCCTTTATAAATGGAAAAATTGCAAAAATTTTAGTTTCCGTTCTCTTACTTAAGTTTGCCTCTACCAAATGTAATGAAACTTATACTCAATGCTTATTACCACAAAACACAGATCAAGTTTGAATTTTGGTGGCGTCACTTTAAACGTTCTAGAGTTATGCCCCTTTATAAATGGAAAAATTGCAAAATTTTTATTTTCTTCTACATATCAAGAATCTTTTTTTTATTAAAATTGGAGTTATCGTCCTTTGTGCATGATTAAAGTTGAATCAACTACAATCAATGCTTTATTCAATGCAATGTTTAATTTTGACTTCCACTGATAAAACACAGATCAAGTTGAATTTGGGTAGTGTCACTGTAACTATTATTGAGTTATGCCCCTTTATAAATCGAAAGATTGCAAAATTATTAGTTTCCATTCTGTAACTTAGGTTTGCCCCAACCAAACATTATGAAACCTAAGATCAAGTACAAATTGTTTGTTTCCGTTTTCTAACTTTAGTTTGCCTCAACCAAATGTTATGAAACTTATACACAATGCTTATTACTACATAATACAGATTAAGTACGAAATTTGGTGGCCACACTTTTACCATTCTTGAGTTATGTCCCTTTAAAAACATAAAAATTGCTGAATTTTTCGTTTCTGTTCTCTAACTTTAGGTTGTCTCAACCAAATGTTATGAAACTTATACACAACCGTTCTAGAGTTATGCGTATTTACAAATAGAAAAACTGCTGATTTTTTAGTTTCTGTTCTCTAAAGTTAGCCTCAACCAAATGTTATTAAACTTATTCACAACCGTTCTAGAGTTATGCGTGTTTACAAATAGAAAAATTGCTGAATTTTTAGTTTCTGTTTTCTTCTTAAGTTAGCCTCAACCAAATGTTATGAGCCTTACACACAATGCTTATTACCACAAAACTCAGATCAAGTTCAAATTTGGGTAGCGTCACTTTTACCATTCTTCAGTTATGTCCCTTTATAACTATATGATATGCAAGCAGGGGCATCATCTGTGTCCACATGTGGACACTATCCACATTTATTTAATTTAAGATTGACCATCCCCTATTTTATTAGAATTACATTCTTCTATATCCAATATTCTTACATATTTAGTATTTCTTATAAAGTTATTACCAGATTTGATATAAAAAAAACACAAAGTTTATAGTTGAAATCCACACTACCTTGCCCCACCCTACATATTTTTGTTAGAAATTTTATTTTTATTGGACCTTTTATGTCCTCTTCACTGATTTAAATCCCTCCATTATTAATGAGAAATATATATGATATCATCTTCATATAATAGCAGTATCATATGGGCAATAGTTCTGTTTTTGCTGATCATTACAATTTTTAGAAATGACCATATGAAAGATTTCATACAATTGTTATTTGAATTTAAAAATTATTGAATATATTTATTGATTCAACCCCCCTGGACCCAAGTGTTTTGTCAACACTTTAAAGAACAGTTTTTGTAATCCAAGCAATGTAAATGGGTTGATCGATTGTGTTTGCTTTAAGTCCAAAGGGTTGAAATGGAGGTAATGTTTGATTTTTTTCCCATTTGTTAATATATATCTTTAGGATAAAGCTACATAAAAGGTGTAAAAATCAGATATTTATTATCTACTGAAGAAAATGTATTGACCCTGTCCTGAATGAAATAGCTAATTACTTTACTTTAAACATTTATACCGGGTCAGCTAAATATGATATGAATTTAAACATTATTATCAGGTCAGCTAAATAAATTATATTACTTTAAATATGGAATGCTGTGACTATTGTCAGTAGTTACTAGTACTTCTGGCTAAATATCAGTAATTGACCTCGCAACAGTATGGACAATCCAAAATGCATGTTTATTAATATCTGGTAAGAAATTTTATACAAATTCATGCATACCAAATGAACTTGCATAGGTGTATAACATGTATGAGGAAAAAGAGCAAGAATAGATTCTTGGAAACAGAGACATATGATTTATTACATGTCTCTGTTAGAAATAACCACAATATTTATTTACACTACATTACATATGTTTGTATCCTTAAACTTATAAAAAAATAAACAATCAACAAATTTAAAAAAACGCGTATGTACATTTTTTATTATTTTATTTGCAAAGTAAGCACAGATATATAATAATATTATGACTCATAAACGTAACTTTAATAAGTGTCACGATTTAGAATACACCTTGACAAATCGTACTCCATTTATAACCTTATCTATTGATCCTCTAATAATCAAAGATCTGCTAGTATAATGCAGGTTCTCTGTGTGTGAGCATTGTGACGTCATACTTGGTTTATTTGTATCGCTCTGATCCTTTCACCGAATATATTAAATTTCCTATGATTGGTTAGTGAATGTAAAGTCTGCAGATAATTCCTCATGTGGGGCTCTTATTCATTAAAAAATTATAAAACACACATAGTTTATGTATAGAATGTATAATGTGTTTAGGGTAATTCCTTAGTTCTACCTGCGAGTTCTACCTTTTGACTTATATATTATGATGTAATAGTTGTGGTTGTATGCATTATGCAATATTATAGGAGAGGTTTCGTGATGAGCTTGATAGAGTACATCTCAGGTGACAACTTATGTAAATGTGATAGAAAAAATCATCTTATATCCCGAACTTATGAAATATAAAGGATTGTTAAAAATTCTTCATTTAATTCAAACTGATACCTCTTTCCACTATATAATTGAAAAGTAACCATTATCAAATTACTAATGCCTTTCTGAAAGTCTTAAAGAATAAATAGTTTTAAGCTTAACTGACTTTTAATAGATTTTATGGGTGTTGTCTATTCAGACTTCATTGATTATAATGTTTATCAACTTTTTTTTTAAAGTACTCTTCCATTAATATTTATAGTGAAATATGATTAGATCATCAAGTTTCCTCCATTTCATTTTAACAGGATGCTTAAAAAATATTTTATTACATTGAAATATATGAGATAGACTTGAATGAACTATTGCTTGGATAGTGATTGGTTTACTAAATAATTCATGGGTGTAAAAGTAATGTAAGCATTATTTGTTTCCTTACATTTTTTTAAGATCCATGTACTTTGTCACTTAGTGCAGGTAGTTTGTTTCTAGAAGGAAATTATATTCAAACAGAAGTTTACAGTTTCATTTCTTCTTGTGATTTTTTGTTTGTAAGCATAAATTTGCAAAATAATTTTATTTCCATTCAATGAACTAGACGGACCAGAGTCAAACAGTTTTTTTTTTTTTTAAATTATGGTACTGTTTAATATGCACAACTTCAAGTGTTTTCTCTTTACCATTGTATTTTGGTTTATGAGATAAAAAAAAAATATAAGTATTTGATTTCATACAAAATAAAGACAAGAAAATTAATAGTAAGTTTTTCTTCCTTAATCCTTGTAGATATGAATTTTGTAAACTCTGGTTTTTATCAAAATTGCAGATTTAACTAAGAAGAAATATGTGAAATGTCAAATCTTAAAATAGAACTCAGTTAACTTTATAAAAGAAATATTGATAACTTGTATATATATTTTTATTAACATTTTTATGTTCCTTTAATTCAATTTTGTACAAGTTAGACATTGTCTGGTTTGTAAGTTGAAAATTCTACAAAATAAAATTCAACTTGAAGAAAATGTGAGTGTAGTATATTGTTACTCATGTTTGATATATTTACAATAAATTTTTTATAGAAAAGACTCTTTTAGGGTTATAGGGGCATTCAAGGGTGCCTTGTTGAAGTTGTAGAATTTACCAACATAAAACCAGTTAACTTGGAGTCCACTATAAAGTGTTTACAAGCCTAGTCTAGTGAATATGTTCAGATCTGTCTGTCTTTGGCCTGTCACATGGCCACTTCAATTGATTTTTACTGGCCTTGAATTAAATAGGACACTGTTTATATAAATCAACCCTAATATAGTTGTATAACAGACTAAGTAATCCACAGTCAAGGTATAATATGCACACAGCAAAGTTTTGCAGGTTAGAATGATTAGATTAAAGGATTTATGCTAAAAGAATTAATAAAGTCATAGATTTTTTTTAAATTTGTGCTTTTCTTTGATATGTATTTTTATTAAAAAACCTGATGTCTGTATGGTATGGTATATTTTGATTTAAGACTGAACATGGTAAGCAATTTCTCGTGCCAGAAATTAATTATTTTTCTTTTAAATATATCACTTAAGTCTAAAAGCAAGATAAGCAAACATTTTTCTTTAAAACAAACAAAAGTAGACACTTTGCCTTATTATTATTGACCTACTGTCAAAATATGTGTAGAAGATATGTCAAATTGAATTTAGTTTATTTTCAATTTTAGATTACTAGACAGCAGCAACTAAACTATGTCAGAGCCCCTTACATTACCACCTTGTCGAGTGTGTGGAGGAACAGCCACAGGAATTCATTATGGTGTCAACACATGTGAAGCTTGCAAGGTATGAAGTATAATTTGAGCTAGCGAGTAAATGCTATTGCTTATCATACCTTGCTTGTGAAAAGAAACCTCTGTAGAAAGGAAATCAGGTAAAATAATTGATCCTAAAAAAAATAGGGGTAAGCTGCAAGTATTCATCATAAATTTTGAAAACCATTGCAGAAAGAGTAAATCTGACAGGTGCTAAAATGATCAGAATGTTGAAATCTACCTACCATCTATAATACCAAAATTGTCAAACAACTTCTTATAGGAGTTATTGCCCCTCAATGAGAGTAATTGACCAATTTTCATATTTTGCCTATTACTATGAAACTATGATATAGACAGAAACTGTAAACAGTGAAAAGGATTGGAAAGCTTAATTGACTCCTTTGAGAAGATATTGCCCCTAATTTCCATTTTTTATCCATTTTTGTGTATTTGTCTATTATCTTGAAAACTACAAAAGATAGACAGACCCTGGAAAATGCTGAAATGATCAGTAGTAAAATATCTACATTATTGTAGATATGACTGATACAATCAATTGACTCCTTATGGGAGTTATTGCCCTTAAATGATGATTTTTGAAAAATTTAGGGTTTTTGCCTATTATTAGTCCCCTACCGACGAAGTCAAAGGGGACTTTAGGTTTGCACTCTGTCCGTCTGTCTGTCCATCCGTCAGTCCGGCAAATTAGTTTTCCACACTTTTTTACTTCGTGCTTGAGATATTGATTTGAAATTTTGTATATACTTTTATCATGACAAGTTACAGATCAAGTTCAAATTATGTTCTGGTCTGATGATTTTGTGCAGAGTTTTGGTCCTTGGATTTGGAAAATTCATTCAAATAATCAGTTTTCTGCACTTTTTTTTTGTCATGCTTGAAGATATTGATTTAATAATTAATATATAGTTTTATCATGACAAGTTACAGGTCAACTTCGAATTTTGTTCCGGTATGATGATTTTGTGCAGAGTTATGGTCCTTGGAAAATTCACTCAAATAATCAGTTTTCCACATTTTTTTTCGTCATGTTTGAAGATATGGACTTGATATTTGTTATATAGTTTACACCATGCAAAGTTATAGATCAAGTTAGCATTTTGTTCCAGTACAATGAATTCTTAACCGGCAGGGGACTATGTATTGCCATGCAATACTCTCAGAATGCTTGTTTTAACTGTGATAGATAGAAGAAACTGTAAACAGCCAAATGATCAGCATTCCATGATTAACAAATAAGTCATAATGGTTGAAATAATTAATCAACTCCTTAAGGTATGTATAATAATTTGATTGCTGTAGTCTATGAACGGCATTAAACCTAAAAAAAATCAGATAAATGTCTAGTTAGCAGACAGTTAAAAAAAGTCTTGGTCGTGATATTTTCTTTCCACCTCGTTGGTTCTTTTATATCTTATTAAAGGTAATAGTCAGTATTATAAGAATTATTTAGGGTACATGCATGAGGTGATTTAGATTTAACAAAGTCAGTAAAAAAAAATATGCCAGTTCATGGCCAGTCTTTAGAAGTGATCTGTCTGATAAAAGTCAACTATTAGTCTTACTCCATGTATCACTATTTTATACAGTTATGTAAATTAAGAAATCATTATGATATTTTGATTATTGGGAAAATTGTGACTGGAAAGGTTTCATAAAAACAAAAACTTGCATTTCAAATTTGGTAGCATTATTTATATTTATATGCAACATTTCCTGCAATCACAATAATTAATACTGCAATTTGTCCATATTTTTTTTTCAATTTACAGTATCACATAAAAACTTCAAAACAGCAACTTGTCATTCATGTTTTATTACGCACATTACCAATACTCTTATACCTTTCTGGCATTTCACTTGTGTTTAATTCTTTCTGGCATTTGATTTCAAAATATATTTTGAATGGTATCTGTTTGAGCCCTTAGTTTACTGAATGATCAACTGTTTAGCTTATTAAATAAACCTAGGTGCAACAGGTATGTAATTTTTATGGTAAAGTCATTTGGCATGATAACCATATGTTCATTCAATTTTCATGTGTTAAAATATTCATTTCCAGGCATTTTTCCGGAGGTCTTTGGTAGAAAACAACAAGTATGTTTGCCCAAGAGATGGTGACTGTAAGATTATCAACCACAAAAGAGCCAACTGTTCTGCCTGTAGACTTAAAAAATGTCTGGAGTTGGGAATGTCCAAAAAAGGTACATAAAATGGTTCTAGTGTATTTGAATTGTAATAAAGAAATTGAGAATTAATAAATGTTTTGCTGAAAAGTAAACAGAAATTAAAAAAGGGGGTGTGTTTGTAGGATTTTAATTTCATTGTTGAAAAGGCTATAGTATTTAATTCTGTCAGGTTTTCTATATTAGAATTTGGCCCAGTTTATACAGAAAAGGACTGTCAAATTTGTTATTTCTATATTGGTACGTGTGCAGTGTTTTATATTACAATGTTGACAGAACATCAATCAAACATTATTCTGGCTCATACCAGATTGCCCAAACTAAATTTTCTTATCAACTTGATTTTTTTTTCTGAATGAATAATATCTGTATGTTATTTGAACAACCAGGATTGGTTTAAGGTATTCAAGATGAAATGCATTATGTTTTTTTTATCTATTTAAACAGCTGTGCGTCATGGTCGATACACTGTTGCAATTAGAACCAAGACCATTTTGGAAGTTAAACAACTTGAGAGGGAACAGGCATTGAAAGATAGCTTTGCCCTGGCAGATTCATTTGCAAAGAAGTTACCAGAAATTATATCAGTACCAAAAAGTAACCCAGTTCCAGATTCATCAGTAAATGATAGCATTATCTCCTCCATTATAGAGAGTTCAGACAATTCATCCTCCTTGATAGAGAGTACAAATTTCACATCAAATGACACTTTACAATCATCAGTTATAGGCAGTAGTCTGATGTCTGTCAGCAATTCCTTACATTCTGCCATTGGAAATATTCCTGAAAACATGACATCACTTGAACCATCATCTGTGTTTTCCCCAATTGAAACCAATAAAATATTTACAGACATGAATAGCATTGACATTCTAAATACAATTGACCTTGACATTACTAATGAGAATATTGAAATATCTGGATCAGATGTGTTCTTAAATGGGCTTACTTCACAAACAGTTGACATTGACTTAACATCTGATAAGATAGACTTCTTGGAAATTAATCCAGATGAATTGATAGATCTGACGCAAGAAGTTGTTGACGTTTTTGCATCCCAGACTACAACCACCACTGAAATACCACAACAGCAGAGTCCACAGAGCATAGCCAGTAGCCCCAGCAGTGTGCAACAGTATAGTCCAGATACTACCACATTAGATGAGAGTATGTCATCACAGTTTGGATCTCCAAGTACATGTATGTACCTTTATACAGCACCATTTTAAAATAGTCATATCAAATTATATTGTTACCAGAGACAGAAATTTGACAAAAATAAGAAAAAAGAAAAACATTAAATAAAAATAATTTAATCTATTGATGTTTATATCCCATAGCCATTACAACAACAAAAGCAATAGACATTGAGCCCGAAACTACAATTAATAAAAGTACAAAAATATAGTGTATTTCTTTATAACAGTAAATGTAAATTAACTAAATACCACTGTGTTTTCTCAATAAGATAGTGTACTACTGTTTGGAAAAAATATATCGAAATTATAGAAAAATTAAAATCTGAATATCTCAAAATCACAAAAAATATTTAAGAAAAGCCTAGAATACCTAAAAAATATTCAGATTTACATTTTATTATTCTATCTTAATTGCAATATCAAAAGCAAAAATCAGTATCAAAGTCTCAACACTACCTGTCTTTCTGTTTACGTTTGTTTTACTTTCATTGTTCTTAAATTTTTATCTAAAAATATATGTTTTTCCAATCGTTTAAACAATATTTGGAAATGAAGAATAAATTTAAATTTTTTTTTCCAGCAAGCATTGAATTAGTGTCAAATGCAAGTAGTTCTCCATCACAGAAGAATCCGCGTTCATCATTTGAGCTAGAGGATTATCACATGACGCCTCGACCACAAAAGAAGCTACGAGCCTCTTTTAACTTAGCAGATGACATGGAACAACTACAATTGATAAATACCATGGTTTCTGCACAAGAGATATTATATCCTGAAATGAGGAAATATTTCAACAAAGAGTACACAGAGGTCATTCACAGGGAATTCTGGGTAAGTTTTGAAATGATATAGTTTTGATGTATTTTTGTGAAAAAATAGACATTATACCAGTCATGTGACATCATCAAGTAAAAGCGAAAGCAGTTACCTTGTTGTCTCTCTCCGTCTTTTGATTCACTCAACCAATATTTCAGTCACTTTTCTCAAGTACTACTAAACAGAATGACTTCATCTTTGGTCAGCAGCTTGTCAGTGATAATTGTATCTGTCAGACACCTACTTCCAGTTTGCCATTACTTTGAATATTTCAATATGGTAAATAAACTTTAGTTTTGTCAAACATTTGTCCAGTACTACTGAACAGAATGACTTCATATTTGGTCAGCCGCTTGGTAGTGACAAGTTATTATGTAATTATTGCAAGCATAAACTAAGCTTGTAACTTGAGAAATAAACAAAAAAAAATATAGAGCAAAGACAAATCTTAGAAGAAAGTATGATTTTGATTCAGTAATCCATACTTTTATCATCAAATATGATAATAAATAGCATTCTCCTTAATTTTTATTAATTAACAACCTTTAGATATAGAATAACAAACTTGAACGTATATTTTCATTTCAGGAGAAAACCCAGTTACAGAATGAACTATTTGGTCAATTGAAGAGTTTGTCAACAACTGAATACAACAACTTTTTCTTAGTGACTGGGATTGATATTGATGGTCGTAGGGGCATGTTTACCAAGGTTGCAGAATGTATGCAGAAAGAAATCGTCAAATATATTTCCTTTGTCAAGTCAATACCTGGTTGGGAGCATATTCATAATAGTGATAAACTGACACTAATCAAAGGTTTGTTCATATTTGAAGATGGGGTCCTATATCAAGTCTCTATTACTGTCACAGACTTTAGGCCACACCAACTTTATTTTGAGTTACAGTATCATGATTCACGGACACCAATTTTTGATGATATTTGTTTTTATTGAAAGGATGATTTCACTGTCTCCTGCAGACAACACATAATATCTTTTACAATTGCCTAATTGTTAACAGTAAACATAATAAAAGTGATTGCCTCTGCTCTAAAGAAAATCCGATTATGTTTTACTATTAAACGGTACATATTCATTTGATAAAAATGTAAATGAAGTTTCATATTCATTCCTTTGAGAATTATTTCTTTCTCTCATTTCTTTTTGCCTCCCTGAAATGAAAATAAAAGAAAAAAATAAGCTCCCTTTAAAAAAAAATTGTCAAAAGCAATATACAGTTCAAGTAATGAATGAGTGAGGTTATGGGACAAGCCATAAATTATCATTAGAAAAAGCACAAATTTATGATAAAGGGGTGGTCCATTGCCATTCCTCACCCACTGCAACCCCTAAACTGAAGGGTAACAAGCAATTAAAATAGGATTTAGTTTCAACTTGTTCTTGAAATTAACATGTTAATATTTAGAACATTTTGTTTTCCCTCAGCTGAAATAAATTTGCCAATTATTCAAGAAAAAAGATATAGTTAATATTGAACAGGTTGCTCTTTGCATTTGCATATATTGTCTTACAGACAACCTTCATGTTTGCTTGCATATGATTTCTTAATGTACTTTTGAATGCCTTATTCTCCCAACAGTAGAATATTTTTGAACTTTGTAGGGTTTACAGACGAGGAACTTAGATACAAAAACCTAACCAATTATTTAGAGCATTGTAATAGTATTCATATTTAAATATTATAATTTTATTCTACAATGTATAAAGCAGTTTTATAATTTTCCTTTCAGCTTCAAGATTTGAATACTGGTTGCTTGGAAAGTTCCTGTCAATAAATCCTGATATGAAATTTACAGCTGATGAAAAATGTGGATATACCCACACACAAGTTGAACAAATGTGGGGTAGTCCTGAAAATATTGAAACTGTAAATAACTTCACAAGGAAGCTAAAGAAACTTGATTTGACATTTGAGGAGATTGCTTTGCTTAGAGGAGTTATTGTTCTTTCTAGAGGTAAGCTTACTACAATAATGTTTTTTGAATAAAGTCAATATATAAACTTCATTCTTACTAATACTATTGACCTATCAATGGAAAATAATTCTCGACTCTTTTCAATTTTGCATATATTTGAATATTAAGCAAAGAATGGTTTGGAAATAATTAATTTGTCTTAATTTTATTTGACTGTAGAATATATAGCTTTGATAATTACCTATCCTTACATGATATGCTATTCTAAGTTTCATGGGAGGGCCTTGGTGGCTAAGTGGTCTAAGTAGTTCAACTACTGTATCATTAGTCTGTGAATACTGAGGTTGTGAGTTTGAACCCAGCATGTGGCAGGTGCATTTGACTCCAATCTTTATTGACTAGGATTCTCAGTTTTCCTGCTGAAGGTTGGTGGTTTTCTTCAGGTACTCTGACTTTCTCCACCAATAAAAATTGACTGCCATGATATAGCCAATAGTGCTGAAAATGGCCTTAAGGTGGTACCTAACACTACAGGGAGATAACTCTGTAAAAATCAGCTAAACGTTTTAATAACGTTGTATTGTAAAGGAAATATTAAGCTTCTCAATGATCAAAATTAGTGTTTGTCAAACTGCTATATAACCAATGAAATTTTTCTGATAAAGTGGTTGGTTCAAATTTTTTGAAATTTTTATATTTTTGTCAAAGGGACAAAGTAAACATTTCGTCAAAATTTTATGAAAATTAAACGAGCCAAATTAATATGAGTCAAGGTGTTGGGTACCACCTTAAACACCAACAATCAATCAAGTTTCATGTAATAATTTGTATGTTATGTTGGATACAAGCATTTTCTATTTTGCTTTTTTATGATGAAGTTTGTTAAATAAAGTAATCTTTCATTGATAATTTTTTTCACTGTACATCTTTACATTGTAGATCGTTGTGCCCTTCGTGAACCAGAACTTGTTGAGAAAATGCAATGGAAAATCTTACAATCTTTTATTTACCTTGTGAAAAAGACGCATCCAAATGAACAGTTAAGGTTTGCTCGTTGTATGGACAAACTTACACAATTGAGAGAACTTACAGAGGTTAACTACAAAGCAAACAAAAACCTAGAGAACTTCCAAAAGTCTTTGATTCAGAATTATCCATTGTTGTATGAATGTCTAACTTATGAAGGTTAAATAAGTTGACAAATAGAGGACATAGAATTTTGAAATGTTAAAGATTTGTGTGCATTTGTTAGATTAAATCATGTTAATGCTACCTGTTTTGAAAATGGGCGTCATCTTTTAGTGCTAAAACATAGAGAAAAGTACATCTCAAAGTTTAAATTTACTTTTGTACCGTTACTTTTCAGAAGATAGTTATTTATGGTTTAATGTTACATTTAATACCGGCTATTGTCTTATACATTTTTGCTCTATCTCATTTTATTAAAAATTTCACTATTGAATAGTGAAATGTTCTGAACATAAGTACTTAACATTCTTTTTTTGTTTTTGATTAATGTAATTTATAGAAATAAATGGAGCAGGTCTTGGTAACTCCAAATTTTAAACCATGTTTAATTTTTCTGATATTTACACCATGGTATATATATTTTTACATACATGATCTGCCTAAGTTTTATTAAAATTTCCTGTTGAATTTCTTAATGGAGAATTATAAAATATAGATTTTTGATATATATTTTATTAGGTTTCCCTCCTTGCAAAAAAAGCATTTTTGACACTTTTGTAACTTGAAATCATTTAATTGGTAGAAGAAGGATTTTGAATAAATCTTTCCTGGATTATATTTGTTGCTCGTGATTCTGTGACCTTGGTTGTCATTTAAAAAATTCTCTTCATTTAAGTATAGTCTGCCATAATTTATATTCTTGTATTATTTGATTTCCTTATATGAAGATTATACTAGAATGGCATCTTATTTATTTTTATTTTTCATTGATTAGAAAACTTTATTTTATTTATGATAAAAAATATGATGAAGAAGGTGAATTGAAAAGGTCAAATGCTTCATATTTTCACATAGAATGCTGGAATACATTCAAGAATGTCAATTTCTGTGACAAATAAAGCTGACAATTATAAATATATAAATTATTCAAATTTGAATATTAAATGCAATATGAAAACAATATACATAAATTGTTGGAAAATATATAATTTATTTTTTAATTGCTACAAAACAAAAGAAAAGCTCACTGAGCCTGCCTTTGCCTTCTGTTTCTGAAACTTGTACAAACTTTTTTTATATTTTGTGACATTGCATACATTTTGTATATAAATAACCATTGAAAATATTTATACTTTCTCCTAACACTATTCAACCTGTAGTTCATTGCTTAACTCGATGTTATATTAATGTGTTATATAAAGTGCTATATATATTTTTTGAAAATAAGTGTATAGATTTGTTAAGGGGGACTTGCTTCAATGTTTTGGGGCTCAGGTACTTAGGTCCTGGAGCAATTAGTATTTTTTTGAATTGAAAATGTCTATCTATGACCCCCTTTATAACAAGTCTGCAGCGTAAATACCCATGGTATTGTTAAAGTATGTAAAATTCTACAATTATATCATTTGTAAACTGACTTGATTCCAGTTAATTAAGTAAGAATTATATATAAAAAAATGTTCTATATAAATAAAAAGGATCACATTCACACATTCATTGACCTTACACAATTGTAGGGTAATCCATTATCAAAAGGCTTTTCCCATTTATATTATATGTTGAAACTAGACATTAGGATAGTAGAGGTAACTTTTCTCTTTATACTGATCATGCTGTGGCAAAAGAAGTAAGTGCATGTTTTCTTTTAGAATGTTTTTTTTTTATGTAAATACGAGGATCTGCATTTGTTTTCAGTGTGATAATCGTTTTTGTATTGAAGAGTGATAACTTTATTACTGACATTAAAATATGAATAATATGGTTACAATTACCTGATTTTTACAATTTGATCATTTGATTACAATTTATGCAGAAATTAACTTAACTTAACTTCAAAATTTGCCCAAAAGATTATGGTCAGTTCCAGAAATTTGGGATGGTAAGGCAACCTAAAACAGAGATATTTTATTTTGCCTAATGTTGTTAGAAAATTATAGTTACCTTGTTGTATATAATAAATATGAAATATATAATACTTCAGATTTAGTGAACAGTTTTAAGAGTATGTCTCAAAAGGCTTGCTGGTTTGTTGTTGCTTTTGTTCTTTTTAGAGAGTTGTATGTTTACACAATGTTAAACTGTTATAATATATATATTAATTTGAGAAAAAAATTATATGAAATGTTTTTGTTGTAATTTGCTATCTATTTTTCAATAAAATTAACCATTGTGATTGTACTTTTGTGTGTTATGATTAATGATAAACGGAACATTATAAGTGGGTTGCTACAGTATTATTTGAGTTTGAAGAGAGGGCACATTAGTGAAGATTTTAAGGGTACACAAATTAGATTTTTAACAATATTTTGTGGATAATGTACCTTGGGGTGTAAAAAAACCCATATTGATTTTGAAGCCACTATGTCAAAGGTCAAGGTCACAGCAGCGTTTGATGGAATGGAATAAAAGTTGAGCAAAATTTTGGTTTCCAGGGTATCATTTGAATCATGTTGACCTAACCAAGACTTCTATTGATTTTATGTCAAAGGTCAATGTCACATTATCTTTACTGAAATTGTTGTAAAAGTTTCAATACAGAACACTGTCTTTTGAGCTAATGTAAGGCAACAGTGATTACTGATGTTCAAATTTCAATCATATCTTAATAAATCTGGTGGATAGTATTTCTTGGAGAAAAGTCTTCTATTTTGATTTTTATGTCTATTAAAAGGTCATGGTTACAGCAGCAATAAATATTCTGCAGTGTGGGCAATTTTGTTTTTGTTAAAACATATTAGTACATTGCCCCATAATATTACTTCTACTGCAAATCTATAAAGAATACGACCTAGTTTATCTACCTATTGTGCTTCTGTAGTTTTTGTTTCTGTTACTTTCTTTAGGGAATATTACTCTACTACACAATAAAATACATTCTTTCTAGTTCATGGGAACATCTTAACAAATTCCTATACATTCCTGGAATATTATAACAGACCTGAACAACATAGAAAAATAATACAATTCAACAGGAAATTGTACTTTCAGTTTCTGATAGCTAATCTCTGTAATCTGTAAACGAATTTCTGCCAACCAAGGCACACCTCCAACCACTCGGAGGAAAATATCAATACGCAATAATCATGCATATACGATACGACTGCTATCACTTGATATATTTAAATATTAAAATTTCTACCACCACAAGGATTAATACACCTCCGAATAAAATTGAGATAAATAAAATCTTACAGCAGTAACAACTTTAAATGTTCTTTCAGTACAAAATCAAATGATTCTGTGACCATGTGTGCCCATCATACCAATGCAAGCTACCTATATATTACTTATTAGCATTTAGAAATTAGATTTTCTACTGCCTAAGTTATCGAGTTTAGCTAGTAAAGCATAGCGTTCTTTACGGTAAATTATATAGCAACTGTCTACACAGGGGTTCTAAGATATTACTGGTTTCTGTTATGTGGATTTAAAAAACAAATCTATTTTGTAAGAGACAGTCTTCTAGCAACCAGTTTAATGTCTGTAATATGATGTGATATATTTTGATACATTTATGCAGCTTTAGAAGAATAATGCATGATAGTTTTCAGACTGTTTATTGACATCTGATTGGCTGTCCAAGTGCTGATAAGTTCTCTCAATCTAGGTTTCGGTTAGTAAGATTTGTAGTACATTTTCCATTTCAGCTGGAGAAATATCTGGATAAAATTGATTGAATATGACGCACCTAATTAGTCTTCTCTTTGATTCCTCTTGTGCTTAATTGAAGTTTTTGATTTCCCCCCAAAAATTGAAGTAATTTGCGCTGTTCACATGTTCACCCTTTCCTAAGTCAAGTGTTAAGCTCGTCATGCTATGGTGTCTTACTAGTTGGCATTCTACTGCGATCTTTAGGAAGAATTCAGTAGATATTATTATTGGCTCAGTTATTGAGGACATCAATTTGATTTGATGAAGATGTGTACACAACTTTCCCTACATTTTCTATGACAAGCGATCGCAATTAGATAAGAAGGTTTCACCAGAATCAAATACATGACTTGACACTTGGAAATTTACTGATTATAAAAGATTCACTGAAAGCATATAAGAAATCATAACTTGGGAGTTGTGCTAGTAACTTTGGTAGCTTTACAAAGTCAAAAGTTGCAGTAAATTCCATATGAGTGCTGACCCTTATTACACAAGTTGCAATTATTTAACAGTTTTAACTCCATATAAAGGCTTCATTTGTTTTACTGTCCTTAAAGTCTCAGTTTGCACTTCAACAAGGAGCAAAATCTTACATCTCAGTGAAGATCAAGAAGGTCCTTAACGGTTTGAGTGGAATTCCTCGTCAGACCAAGGACAGACGATTGATATTACAACAAACATTCGTTGTTCAGTTGATACAAACTTTCCAACCCTTCTAGACTTGTTCTCACATGAAGCAGCATGTTTTAAAACTTTCCGAAAGAATTGTTTATAACATCGTTGTCACACAGACATATTATCATATGTCAAATGAGTATTGGCAATGTTTTATATTACTTATTTCTATGAAGTAAAACAAATGCAGTGGATCAAAACAAATACAATTGGTAATTGGCCATACATTTTAAATTTCAGGCTATCATGTAGTATAACCTTATTTCAAAATACCGAGTTCTTGACCTTATCAATCTATTTGATTATAATATTCTAAAATACATTTATTGACTTAACCCCCATAGTCCAAAGTGTTGTGTCAACACTTTAAACACCCATATTCGAAATGCCAGTTGCTAAAACTGGTTGATTGAATTTTATTTACTCAAAGTCTAGTGGATTAAAATGGAAGTAATGTGTGATATCATTCCGTTTGTTTATACATTGTTTTTGAGCCAAGGAGCCTGTATTGCTCACCTGACATTTTTGAATAAAATTTATACAATCATGGACAACAAGAATATTTGTTTTGGATAGAAACTGTGTCGGCCAAAATTTTGTCTTGTTAATCTTTTTTGCTATATACATAAGGTTTATGTCTATACATTATAGTTTTCTAGATATAAAAAAGGCATAAGATACCAAAATAAAAAATCAGAAGTCAAAGAAGAAACTTAAACTCCATAGCAAACCACGAAATGGCAAACAACAGTCTACAAAACACTATATAGAAAACTAAAGACTGACCAACATGTATCACGGAAAACCGAGGGTGATCGCAGGCGATATCGGCAATGTTGACTTACTTGAACATCTTATTTTGCTGATAATGATTGCTATTTACAGTTTCAATCACAGGCACTCGTCTCTGAAAAGAAAACTACCATAAAAAAAGTAATAATTCTTATACAGAGTCTACTGATGATTTCGGCCATGCAATACTTAGGTGTAAATCTTATTTTGCCAATTTTTTTTTTCTTTATGTACATGTTCTCTCTATCAACTATAGTTTTCTAAAATGACGCACAAATTGGAAAAAAATAATCATTCAAGGGCAATAATTCATAAATGGATTCTTCTGACAATTTTGCTTGACTATATGTTGAGATAAATGTAGATAGCGAAAATCTGAAAGGAGCAAAACTGTTCAAAATGATGAAACTATAATAGATAGATAAAAACTTTAAAAAGCGTAAAATGATCAGCAAGACCAGATCTGCAAATAGGTCAGCATAGATGAAATTGTCAATTGTCTTTGATAGGAGTTATTGCTCTTAAATGACGGATTTTACCCTTTTTCTGTGTTTTGGGCAAACACATTTAAATAATAATAATAATAAAAAGAAGAAGAAGAACTGTAAACAGAAAAACGATCAGCAATACATGTTCAACAAACTATAGAGGCTCTGAAAATAGAGAAAAATTGTACACAGAAAAATGATCAGCAATACAAGTTCACAATCTAGAGGTTGTAAAGAGCCTGTGTTACTCACCTGGATATATTTGCACCTTTAACAATGGTCACTCTCCATCACTGTAGTGAAGAATATAATTCGTGTCTAAAATAATATTTTTGTTGATCTTGTCTTGCTGATAATTTTTACTGTTTTGCAATTTTTCTTTATTCACCAAAGTGTTTCCCAAAAATGCAAACAATGATAAAAATCACCATTAAAGGGCAATAACTCCTATAAAGAGTTAACTGACAATTTCAGGAACTTTGATATATTGTAGATCTTGTCATGCTCATCATTTTTATTGTCTCGCCTTGACGGAGTCAAAAAGCGAGACATAGGTATGCTGTTTCCGGCGTCGGCATCAACAATGTATTAGTTTGTGATAAGGTCTAGTTTATGGTGAACCACATGTGGTAGGTCAATGATATTTGGTATGCAGTTGTATTAGCATTAGCACATCTCATTTCCATGGAGAATATGTGGCCCCGCCCCTCAGTCATGGTCTATTGACTATGCAAATTTTGCTTAGTTTACATGTATTAGTTTGTGATTAGGTCAGTTCAAGGGGAACCATTAGTGGTAGGCCAATGTTTATTGGTATTCAGTTGTATAAGCATTAGCACATCTCATTTCCATGGAGAATATTTGGCTCCGCCCCCTCAGTCATGGTCTATTGACTTTGAAACTTTTGCTTAGTTTACATGTATTAGTTTGTGATTAGATCAGTTTAAGATGAACTGCTAATTTTAAGTCAATGATATTTTATATACAAATTTATTGGCATTTGCAAGTATCGTTTCCATGGAGATTATATAGCCCCACCCCCCATCATGGTTCATTGACTTTGAAACTTTTGCATAGTTTACAAGTTAATTTTTGTGTTTAGGTTTGTACCAAGTCAGGAATATGACAGTTGTTATCCATTCGTTTGATGTGTTTGAGCTTTTGATTTTGCCATTTGATTAGGGACTTTCCTTTTTGAATTTTCCTCGGAGTTCAGTATTTTTGTGATTTTACTTTTTAATGGGAACGACTTATAATAAGTCAATGGTATTTGGTATGCATTTGTATTAGCATTGGCACATCTCATTTTCATGGAGATTTTTTAGCCATGTACCTTCAGTCATGGTTCATCGACCTAATTTGAATATTTGCATAACTTATGTTCTTCTCATATATGTTATGATGGTATGATACTAAACCCCTAACGGGAAGGATTGTGCCTGATATTCATATGATGAAGACATAATCTTTCAATCAGTTTAATTGAAGTCTGGAGCTGGCATGTCAGTTAACTGCTAGTAGTCTGTTGTTATTTATGTATTATTGTCATTTTGTTTATTTTCTTTGGTTACCTCTTCTGACATCAGACTCGGACTTCTCTTGAACTGAATTTTAATGTGCGTATTATTATGCGTTTACTTTTCTACATTGGCTAGAGGTATAGGGGGAGGGTTGAGATCTCATAAACATGTTTAACCCCGCCGCATTTTTGCGCCTGTCCCAAGTCAGGAGCCTCTAGCCTTTGTTAGTCTTGTATTATTTTTAATTTTAGTTTCTTGTGTACAATTTGGAGTTTAGTATGGCGTTCATTATCACTGAACTAGTATATATATTTGTTTAGGGGCCAGCTGAAGGACGCCTCCGGGTGCGGGAATTTCTCGCTGCATTGAAGACCTGTTGGTGACCTTCTGCTGTTGTCTGTTCTATGGTCGGGTTGTTGTCTCTTTGACACATTCCCCATTTCCATTCTCAATTTTAATTTTACATGTTAAAGTATTGCTATTTTAATTTCAACATTTGCATTATCAAAATTACAAAAAGGCGAGACATATCTCTGTGATAACAGTTTATGTTTTAAATTTTTATCTATCTGTCATGGATTTCAAGACAATAGGCAAAAACGCAAAAAGTTGGTAAAAATCGTCATGTAAGGGCAATAACTCCTATACAGAGTTGACTGACGATTTCAGCTATGTTGACAATTAAATTGATCTTGTCTTGCTGATTATTTTTTGCTATTTAATTTCAAAATATATATTACAAGTGTTCAAAATAATACGCAAAAACGCTATCTGTCATTTTAGGGCAATTACTCCTATAAAAAAACCGTCAACGATTTCATGAATTTTATCTATTTGTAGATCTTGTCTTGTGGATTATTTTTTCTAGTCAAATATTCTCTTTATCTATTTAAGTTTTCAAAATAATTGGCAATAACGCAAAATAAAATGATAAAAATCGACATTAAAGAGAAATAACTCGTATAAAGAGTCATCTTACGATTTCGGTCATGTGGCTTATTTGTAGATCTTGTCTTAAAAAAGGAGAAGTTCTGGCTAAATGCAGTTCTCGCTCTCACATTTATCATGAAATGCCTGGAAGTTGTGAAGTTAATATTTAATAAGAAATTAATTTTAACTTTACATGGGCATATCATGTAGGAGGGCAAGAAATTCACATGAATTCCCGTCACTTTTTTTATGCTTAGCAGGCGCGTAGCTGCCTTTACGCAAAAAATCATTTGCTTGCACATTATTTTCACAAAAAAAAAATATTCTGAAATTGAATTACGAATGAGTAGTCAGGTCAGACACGACTTGACGGACAATCAAGGAACATTCAACTCTGAGGTAAAGAGATGGCAGAGACGCTGGTCGGGTCCAGATGTTATAGAGAATCTCTGATGTCGTCTCTAGCAGTGACTAATAAGGAACTATATCCTTCAATATTTGCAATCGTGTCAATTCTATCGTTACAATGCCAGTAACTTCATCAACTACTGAATGGTCATTTAGTGCATTACGGCGACTAAAAACTTATCTCCGTTCAACCATGGTACAGGACAGACTATCTTCGTTGGCATTCATACATGTTCACAGAGAAATGAATATCGACACCGAGAGAGCTCTGCAATCATTTGCCTTGGCAAAAAATAGATGTATGGACTTTGGATATTAACTATACTATAAGTCTTACATGCAGTATTAACATTTAATAGTACAGGCTCAATACACGCAATAACCTTGAAAACATCTTAGATTTATATCCCTCACTTATAAGTCAAGACTTAAAAGTCGCCGTTTGATTTCGTATTTCCATTGTCCGTTCGTCTAAAAGACTATTAATTCACCTTGGGTATCTGTGTCCCAAGTGACCTTCTACCGTTGTCGTAGAAACCCCTCCCTCGATTCGAAAATGACCGTAGTGAGAAACGCTACGGTCGGGTGTCTTGCAAGAAGCAGGACCTGCTCACCCTTCCGGAACACTGGAGGTCGCCACATTTTTTTTCAGGGTTCGTGTTTTTTATCTGTATTTAGTTTTCACTATTTAATGTTTTTGTTTGTTCTTTTGTGTCTTATCTGTTCCCGGGTTGGCCATGTGTCCATTGATTGCACTTCTATTGATAAACGCCTCGGTGGACTTGTCGACTGATCTTCCCGTTTTATAAAATTTATTTTATATTTGAAAACAACCATGTTAATAAGGAGTAATGTGAATTTCGTAAGCATGGCATACCTGGAAAATGACCGAAAAATGATAAGTTTCTGCATAAAAAGGTCCCAAAAATTTTTCGCCTAGCTCCGCTCGGCGATACAAGTCTTATGCTTGCACTTTATTTTAGGCCAGCTACGCCCCTGCAGTTAGAACATTAGTTGAATAACATCCCAAAAAGAGAAAAAAAAAGCCTTTGCACATTTTTAATGATAATGCAAAGTATAAAACACACTACTCATTAACTGTATTTTATGAATAGTCAAAATCTAGAATATACCTTGACATTGTACTCTGTTGATAGCTGTCTATCGATTGAATTTTAATTATAGATCTACTATAGTATATTGCATGCCCTCTGTGTGTGATTGTTGTGACGTCAAAGTTTGATCTGATCCTTTCACCAACATTATTAAATTTCCTTTGATTGTTTTGTGAATATAAAATCTTGAGATAATGCACTGCGTTCCGCTCATATTCATAAACACATACATATATAATTTAAAAATATATAACACTATGTGTTAGGGTAATTCCTTTTTCTACCTGTGAGTTCTACCTTTTGCCTTATATACCCTTCAGGTGGTGACTGTGTTTGCTTCATTAAGTATTTGCTGTAGGAGACGTTCAGTGCCAATTATTATAATTACAGACGATCTTCGTTGACAATTAAAGTGAATGAGATAGAACAAAAAAAATATTTTATGACAGGGAAAATACATGTGACGAAGGATTTGTAAATTTCATATATATACATATAATTATACGGAATAACTCACACTGGTGTCTCACTCGACAACACAATTTAGCAAGTAAGCATTATCAAGTAAATTAGACGTCTATCTGAGTTGAACTTCGAGTCTTTGCCGAATTTAAACCAAACTTTATATTTGTACAAATTTCGGATAATGTGTCAAGTTTGCAACAGGAAGGATTTTTATTAATTTCTTTTCATTTATTTTAGACACAGGTGCTTTGTACAAGTAATAAACCCTCGTAAACCAAGTTTTAGGGTATATATATACATGTATATAGGAATTAACATGTCTGTCTGTCAGAACTATGTATTATTTATCCATTCAACTTGAATATTTAAGGAATAATACCTTCAGATAAAAAAAATGTATTTTGCAGTTTGTGGACGCAACTCTTACAAACTTAAGTTTCATCGTATGTTCACGAAAAACAGATTAACACTTTCATTTCTATTTGTGCATTTTTTACAGTCGAGATTTTTTCATTGTTTTTGTCAAACATTTATTCTTATTACATTATATAAGTGTGAAGAATTAATTAAAGTGGGTTACATGTAATAAGAAATACCTGCACCCAATTTCTTTTTACTTAATAATTGATTTTAAGTAAAATAAAAATGTTACAAAGAATTATGCCTAATGTCAAATTATTGAAAAATATTTAAAGACTCAGATATCAGTTACTAGTAACTTCATATCAATAAACTCATCATAGATACCAGGATTTAAATTGTGTTCGCCAGACGTGCGTTTTGACTTCAAAAGACTCAGCAGTGACGCTCGAATAAAAATGTTTAAAAAGCCAAATAAAAGTTGAAGAGCATTTTAAGGGATATGCTTGCATTTGATATTCCTCTGTTTATGGTTATATATAAAGGTTACGCTCCTTTGATTTGACTAAACACATACATTTGACGTTCTTCTGAATGTATATATTAAAATGCAAGCCTAGCAACATAAAAATGTGCATAAAATAAAAAATAATTTAAAACAAACTGATATCATATTCTTATCACATTTTATGAAGTTAAATGAAATCTGAGTCTTATAAATATGTTTCAATAACGTGTTTTTCTACATAATTATCTTTATTAAATCTTTATTTTACTTAAAACTGTTTATAATTTAAAAGGAAATAGGCTAAATGTATTTGTTATTACATTCAAATGAAAATAACACTTTATCAAGTTCGTACTTCCGATGGGATTTTCTGTATTACCCTTTATCAGGAACGCTCATACCTAAACAGTTTAAAGCCGGGATATATAAATATGTAGAAACCACAGGCAGTTGTCTCTGATTCTTTTTACATTTATAAGTGTTATATTAAAGTATATAGGTAAAAATAAATTCAGAGACAACTGCCTATGGTAGAAACGTTAAGAGCTATATGATCATATGATAAGGGATCTTTAATGGACTGAATTCATATATCGGTAGATGCGTTCATTGTATATTAGTACGTTAATTTTTTTTAAACGGAAGAAAACTAAGTTTATGAATTGAAATATATATTCTTTATAATTACATGTAATAAAGTGGAAAAACAAGAACGAACTTTGAGCCTCAGTATGGACATCAAATATCTTATTGACAAGCATGTCCCAAATACCTCAACAAATAATTGACATTCCATGAAAGTTAAACACAATTTATGCGGATGCGTTTAAATTTATAATTTATATATAATCAAAAAGAAGAACAAACGGTCAAAACGTTTAGACAACACCTTGCACTATTGATGTTTACGTCAATTGCTGACATTATTTCATTTTAAAAAGTCAACAAAACTGACAAGCTGAGAACAAAAAGTATGCTTAATTTTTTTTCATAGAAACAGTTTTTTAGCTTTCAAATTAGACTTCTTCTGATGGTTGTGTATGTGTGTATAGAACAGACTCTTTTGGGATTATAGGGCAAATAGCAGTGTTGTTTTCCATATTATAGAATTTTCTATGTCTGAAGGTAACAACTTAAAACCTCCAATTGACATTGGAGTCCAACAATGTCACTTAGTCATTCAAACTTAGATTTTTACTGGCCTTGAGTTTAAATAGGACTGTTGATATGAATCTGGTTTAGTCTGTGTCGCCGAATAAGTTAACCCCGGGTCAAGGTATAGTAAAATTACATCATGGATTTTACAGGATAAGATGATTAGATTTCTAAAGCCAAAGAAATTATAAAAATCTTAGAATTATTGTTTTTTTTTCTTTTAAAATATTTTCCTTAATAATGTGTTTCAGGGGGGATATTTATAGCAAAAAGTTGTTATCTAAAACCAAACACGGTAAGCAATTTTTAGAACAGAAATACATTATATTCTCTTTGATATATAATAAGTATATATCGTTTCAATACGTAACCAAGAAAACCAAATCTAGTTCCATACAAAAACAAGCAAAACTAGACAAAATTTCGTTTTACCTAAAAATACATGTTAGTTGACTGTTCATCAAAATATCTGAAATGTTAAATTCTATTTATTTCGTTTTTTAGATTTCTAGACAGCAGCAAGTAAAATATGTCAGAGCCACTTACATTGCCACCTTGTCGAGTGTGTGGAGGAACAGCCACAGGAATTCATTATGGAGTCAACACATGCGAGGCATGTAAGGTATGAAGTATAATTTGAGCTAGCGAGAAAATGTGATTGGTTATCATATCGTACTTGTGAAATAAAGCCTATGTAGAAAGAAATTCAGATAAATAAGCCGATCCTGTAATCATGTTATCAGCACAGATCATTCAGACAAATATACAATGTGGTTACTACTATTGTAAGAACGATACATGACCTTTGAAAGAAACATGTTTTTATTTACCATATAATACTGTTTAATAATTAAAACAATTCAAACATTATGAAAATTCAGAATTATGGTTTTGACAGATTCTTAAAAAAAACACCAAGTGATTGGCAAACAAAAGATGCAACCATAAATAACTATGAGATTTTTTGAAGTATAGACTTGGCATGATAACCAATTTTCAATCAATTTTCAAGTGTGAAAACTTTTACTTGCAGGCATTTTTCCGGAGGTCTTTGGTAGAAAACAACAAGTATGTCTGCCCAAGAGATGGTGACTGCAAGATTATCAACCACAAAAGAGCTAACTGTTCTGCCTGTAGACTTAAAAAATGTCTGGAGTTGGGAATGTCAAAAAAAGGTAAATTAACTGGTTTTATGTTACGAAACTTTTTGTGATTGAATAAAAAAAATAAAAAATAAATGTTTTACTAAAAAATTAAAAGACTTTTTATTTGGATGTCAGTTTGTAGGATTTTAAGTTGATATTTGAAAAGGCTGTGATGTGTAATTCTATTGCCTTTTTGTCAAAATATATAAATGCACGTCAATTTTCTCATTTTAAAATTCATATGCGTTTGATATATAAAAAAGGAATGACATAATATTAATCAGACAACATCCTGCACATTAGGTTTCCAAAATTTTCTTTTTGATGTCCATTTTTAAGGATAACCTTGATTGATTTCAGGTCTGCATGATTAGTTGATTTTGTTTTACAACTCCTGCCAAATTAAAATTAAGAATATTTCAACTTTTAATTAGTGCAAACAGAAAAAGATATAAAACTTACTAATAAGTTATTATGTTCAATATATATCATATGGCAAAGTTCTTCCGTATATATGTATAAGTATGTATGTTTGTATTCTTTACAGCTGTACGTCATGGTCGATACACTGTTGCCATTAGAACCAAGACCATTTTGGAAGTGAAACAACTTGAGAGGGAAAAAGCATTGCACGATAACTTTGCTATGGCTGATTCGGTTGCTGAAAAGTTACCAGAAATTATCTCAGTACCAGAAAGCGACCTAGTTCAAGATTCCTCTGTGCATGATAACATTGTATCTTTCATGCTAGAAAGTTCAGACAAATATTCCTCATTAATGGAGAGGACAAATTTCACATCAAATGACACTTTACAATCATCAGTTATTGGCAGTAGCATTATGTCTGTAAGTGATTCCTTTCAGTCTGCCAGTAATTCCTTTCAGTCTGCCAGTAATTCCTTACAGTCTGCCATTGAAGACAATCATGAAAACATGACATCACTAGAACCATCATCTTTGTTTGCATCAATTGAAAATGGGATAGACTTTGATATGTTCACAGACCCGAATGGCCTTGACATTATAAACTCAACTGACCATGACATTGAGAATATTGAAATATCTGGATTAGACATGTTCTTAAATGGCCAGAATGTGGACACATCAGATAAGATAGATTTCTTGGAATTGAATCCAGATGAATTGATAGATCTGACTCAAGAGTTAGTTGACGTTTTCACTCCCCAGACTACAACCACCACTGAAATACCACAACAGCACAGTCCACAGAGTATAGCCAGTAGTCCCTACAGTGTGCAACAGTATAGTCCAGATACTACCACATTAGATGAGAGTATGTCATCACAGTTTGGATCTCCAAGTACATGTATGTACCTTTATACAGCACCAGTTTAAAATAGTCATTTTGAAGAAACGTTATAAAAAAACGTGAAAATGAAAATCGTATACTGACGTTGATATCATCAGATACATAATAAATATGTCTCTGATATTATTATCCCGCAACTATATCAAAGTGTTAAGTATTGAATATGAATTAAATGAGATTTTTGTATAGGTGAATGAAACCGCAACTTAATGACACAAAATGTTCAGAGGTCAACAAAAGGTCTTCATCACTGGGTCCAGTGGGGGTGGGGTGGGAGTGGGGAGATTGAGATGCATTTGGTTTTTTTTTTACATTATAAAAAGAAAAAAAATATAGTCTGTTCAGTAAGGAATGATGAGAAATGTTAATATCTTTTACAGCATGCATTGAATTGGTGTCCAATTCGAGTAGTTTATCATCAAGGAAGAATACACATTCATCATTTGAGCAAGAGTTCTATAGCATGACACCTCGTCCACAAAAGAAGCTGAGAGCTTCATTCAACTTAGCAGATGACATGGAACAACTACAATTGATAAATACCATGGTTTCTGCACAAGAAATATTATATCCTGGAATGAGGAAACATTTCCAGAAAGAGTACACAGCTGTCATTCACAGGGAGTTTTGGGTAAATTTTCAAATATATTATAGTTGAGATGTATTTTTGTTAAAAAATAAAATACAAAAGTTAAGTTTAATCAGAGCATATTTTAAGAGCAGACAGAAACTAACGACTTTCAAGCAGTAAGTTATAACTTGAGAACAATTTAAGGAAATATACAGAACAAAAAACAAAGCATTATGTTGTTTACGAATATACGATATATATGTGCCTCAACTCACTTAAGACATGTTTTCGCGGTCTTAGAATTTTATATTCCAGAATAGTCGTCTGAACTGTAAATTTACTCGATTATGACATTTTGACCGAGTGTGGATTCGATTGGTGGATTGTGCATGCATATTAGGAGGTGCTAACCCCATCAACGAACCAGGACTCGCTCGTTTCAGAGTTCATACGATTGCCTTATTTTTTTTTGTTTTTTTACCTTCAGTTTCTAGTAATTGATTTGTATCTTTTTAATGGACATTGGTCAACTAGTGTTGCCTCTAATTTAGAAATCAATTTGTATAGCATACACAACTTGAATATTTAATTCCATTTCAGGAGAAAACCCAGTTACAGAATGAACTATTTGGTCAGTTGAAGAGTCTGTCAACAACTGAATACAACAACTTTTTCATGGTGACTGGTATTGATCTTGATGGACGTATTGGCATGTTTACCAAAGTTGCAGAATCTATGCAGAAAGAAATCGTCAAATATATTTCCTTTGTCAAGTCAATACCTGGCTGGGAAGATGTTCATAATAATGATAAACTCACACTTATCAAAGGTTTGTTCAAATATGTTGCACCACTCCTAGATATGGGTTCCCGTTTCAAAACTCTGTAACTATAATAAAACACAGCAAGACCATTTTTATAGAGTTTATGATTCTAGCACACATGTAATGCAGGTAATTGTTTGTTTCGGATGATAAATTCTCTGCATACTGTCTGTATTTTACATTTGCCTAGTAGTAGCAGTAAAACTAATTGCTCTCTGCTATAATATTAAACTCAAATCCAGATTTAAGAAAAACAACAGATTTTTCTCCATCAAAATATTAATCAAGCTTCCCTTTTGGAAGTGTGTCCGGATAAAAAATTGAAAAATATCATATTTTTTCCACACTCTCTTTTTTCCTTAAAAAAATAAATAAAAGAATAGGAGTCCAGGGTCAACATTTTTAATAAATAATAAACAAGAAATGTGCAAAGAAGATCACTTCCATTGCATTTATCCATTTACCAACGAGCATTATGTATACCATTGAATAGTTGATTCTCAAACTTGTCCGAAATATTGCTACAATATCCATTAGATTGAAAATTCATACAATCCAATAAGAAAAGTAGGCGCTAATAATACAATGTAATTAACATTTCTAAGAGGCATAACTCCCGTAAAAATAGTTGATCACCAATAACGGGATTGTGGTTAATACCAAAAATGAAATTACCAATAATGTTTAGACAATTATATAGGAATAGGATTAAATCAAGTATTAAAATGATTATCATTTTTCTTTCAGCCGCTAGATTTGAGTATTGGTTACTTGGAAAGTTCCTCACAAATAATCCTGATATGAAATTTGCAGCTGATGAAAATAGTGGACTCACTCATAAGCAAGTTGAACAAATGTGGGGAAGTCCTGAAAATATTGAAATTGTAAATAACTTCACAAGGAAGATAAAGAAACTTGATTTAACATTTGAAGAGATTGCTTTGCTTAGAGGAGTTGTTGTTCTGTCTAGAGGTAAGAGAGATAACTCTTAATATTTTAAATGATTTTACTGGTTACAAGTATAAAGAATATAACTATGCAGGGATATTATTCCATTGATGTGAGAGACACCCGAAACCCATCACAAGCAACATACTTATGAGTAATTACATACAAGAGGCAGAAGTAGTTAGACGATGTTCAAAAGTCGAAAATCAATGTAGATTGATTGTATCATCAGCTCAGTTGTCGGTGCTTCATCAGGCAAAGTTGGCAATAGATGAATTTGGCTATTCTTTTTAGATTCCCTTTTGGTTATATATAGCTCCTACCGTTTTCATATATATACACCCCTGACTTTCAAATGAGCGTTCCTGATGAAGGAAAATTCAGAAAAAGTACTTGGGACGCACGAAATTTATAAAGTGTTATTTTTCTATTTAAAATAAACAATCTTGTTGTAATATCATGAACGAGGGTCTAGATGGGGTCCTTCAACTCTTTCTTCTCTGATTTTTTAGGCATTATTTCTCCTTTCTTTTTTTTTTTGTTTACCCATTATTCTCTATTCTCTACATTTTAGCAACCCATTATTCTCTATTCTTTATATTTTTTGTCTATTTTTTCTCTCTATTCTGTATTTTTTGCCCTTTGTTCTGCATTATTTGCCCATTAGTCGCTATTCTGTAAACCCCATCCAGACCCTCATGAGCTCCAAACGGAGCGAGACATGTGAGTTGTCAGGGTTAGCGAATTTTGATGCAGATCATTTACACGCAACAATGTACATAACTCTTTCGTAAAATATTAGAATTTGCAACTTATAAATCCTTAGCTCTGATAAATCCTTAGCTCTGTTCACGTATCGTAATCTTTTATGTTTCATATTCATATATTATATATATATTTATTCATATATAATGAGGAGCAGTTGGCAAAAATCAATTTGTTTGGATTTTCTTTGACAATACAATACATAAATGGATGATTACCTCTAAAAGAGATTCTTCCGAAAATGTCATATAGATGTAGATATGACTAACATTTTTTTCTAGATTCTGATTATATGTCCTATGTAATGTTGAATACAAAACTTTCCTCTCATGCTTTAAGATGAAAAGTTAGACGTTTAATAAATCATTCTTTATGCCTTAGAAAATTAAACTGGACTTTTTTTTTTTATTGCAGATCGGTGTTCTCTTCGTGAACCAGAAATTGTAGAGAAACTTCAATGGAAAATTATACAATCTTTTATTCACCTTGTGAAGAAGACACATCCAAATGAACAATTGAGGTTTGCTCGTTGTATGGACAAACTTACACAATTGAGAGAACTTACAGAGGTTAACTACAAAACAAATAAAAACCTAGAGAACTTCCAAAAGTCTATGATTCAGAATTATCCATTGTTGTATGAATGTGTAACATTTGAGGGTTAAAACAGCTAACAGCATAATATGAGGCAGAAATTCGTGATTTTAAAGTATTTGTAGCCATTTGGATTCAATTAAATGTTGTGAATAGTTCACGTTTTGATATGTCAGCTTCAGCTTTTAGTGCTAAGTATTTTGTCAAATGCATCTAACGTGTAAGCAATGTCGATTCCTATGCAAAATTCCGTACAACAGCTAGAAATTGTTATTTTAATACTCAAGCATGAAAATATCAGAAAAGTATAAAAAAAAAAAAAAAAACCATTTTAACCTGTTTTAAACAAATGCCCGATAGGGTACATTATATGATCTATTTTTTAAGATAAGTGTTTAGATTTGTTATGAGTGTCTTATTTCAAACGTCTTGGGGCCGAGATAGTTTAAATCTAAAAATCGAGTATTTAAATTTTTAAAGTAGAAAATGTCTCTGTGATCCGCTTTATCACAAGAATGTAGTGTAAATACCAATGGCATTGTGACTTTATGCAATATTCTACAACTTTATCATTTGTAAATGGATTTGATCCCAGTTAAGAATAAGAATTTCATATGAAGAAGGTTTCTTCTATTTTCACATTCATTGACCTCACAAAATAAAAAGGGTAATCCATATTCAAAGGGTTTTGCTCAGTTACGCTATATAGTCTTAAGTTAGAAATTGTAATATTGGAGCGTGATTCTGTTGTACATATATACTTCGTCAGAATTATTGTACAGAGCCAATAGTATGTCTTAAAGGCTTGTTGGTTTGATGTTACTTTTATTCATTGTATTACATTTTCGAAATTGTATGTTTCCAAATTAAATGTAACATTGTTATTCAATTTTGTTTTATCATAGAACAAAAGTATGTACACTGTTTTTGTTGTTTATTGCAATCAAAAGTTGTTTTTTGTGTTTTTGTGTTTTGTGTTTTGTTTTTGTTAATATAAATGACCTTTGTAATTTTATCTTTGTGTGTAATTATAATGGATCATATGAATTCTTAAAGAATGCTATTCCAAAAAAATGGTTTAGAAGGTTGGGCGGTTGAAGGGTACTTCTGAAAAAAATTTGATGGATGTTGATTCTTTTTGAAAGTGTTGCAATTATAGAAAGCCCTTGCATGATTAAATTCATACATGGTATAGGGTAGAATGGAAATCCCCCCCCCCACCACCACCATCAGAGATTAATACAATGATGCAAGAAATACAGTTTTCTTCCTGAAGACATGGTAATCGATCGCTAGGAGTTGGAATAAAGAACTTGCTACAAACCATGAATGTGAAATGCTTGGTAAGACTACTTACAAGTGTATGAAGACTTTTCATATGACTATTAGTCAATATATGAACTGGCATCATGTGGTTTAACTGCAGTGAGTCCATACTAAGATGCACGGAAGAATCACACATTTTCTAGCATGTTTGAACTTTTAGCGCTTCTTTTTTCCTCTGTTTTGCATTGTTTTAATGTGGTCATTTGATCAAACTCCTTTGCGTTGTCCAGTTTTGTTGTTATGATGCAACATAACAGTCTACGGTGGTGCATTGCACTATTTAAAGACAGTGTTGCATGTTACATAAATTACATATTTCGGTTTCATTATATCTCTTGATTGATCAACCTAGACCTATTGTTTTAGCAGTGTATCTTCTGGTTCTTCTCACAAAACCTTGACTTTTACATATACTCATGATACTTGGTATGGAGTTTTAGTACCATAAGACAATGTTTTGCGATTCATTATAAACCAGAACTTTGACCTAGAGGTGAAATAATTTTTTTATAAATGTCTTTTCTGAGTCGTTACAATTTCTCCTTTCTGACATAATCATTTGATATTTTGTTTGAAATTTTGCACATGGGTGGTCATGTCGAGACAATATGTCGAGTACCATTGAAGAGAATCTTTGACCTTGACCTTATATGCATGGTAGGGAAAATGAAAGTTTCCTTCTTCCCACACCACCAACAATTAATACAATGATACAAGAATAAATACAGTTTTCCTCCTGCAAACCTGGTAATCGATTGATCGCTAGGAGTTAGAATTAAAAAAAACTTGCTGCAGGCCATGCATGAGTGTTAAATGCTTGATAAGGCTACTTACAAGTGTATGTAGACTTCACAGTGTAGATACTATTCTGTACGCTATTCTGAAGTCGCGATTTTCGAAGCGAGAACTTTTTGGATCACATTTTAAATTTGATGGATATACTGAATTAAACGGTAAGTTGATCATCTGTACATTGCTTAATGATTAATTCAGCTGACATCGATATTCTCAAATGGTTTAGAATTAAATTCAGCACATTCATTATTCGTATATATCTTTGCCTTAATCAAGAGATTTTCAAGTGCATCACTAAGGAAAATCAGTCGGTGAACCTAAAAACAATCTTTTTACCCTCTTATTGTACAAATTAACGTAAAAACCAGACGTAATTAACTAAATGAAGTATATTTCAAGTGGTGGTAAAAGTTTCAACCAGATCTTTGAAGCCAGAAATAAAAAAAATACACTTGTTTGAATTTCTCACTGTACGATCAGTATCGCTTGTATATTTTGAAACTGTATGATCAGTCTTTATTTCACTGTATTCTAGTGGTGATTTCAAAGTTATTTACGATACATTAGAAGGTGGCATTTTTCTAAATAACACAAATATATTTCAATAAATTCACATCCTGAAAACTTATGAAACATGTTTTGTTGCTGATGGGGTGTACTCGACTTACTACATTAAGTATAAGGATGTTTAAATGTTGCTAAAATAAGAGGAAGGTTTGTTGTATATATAAGTTTTAGAAATGTCCTCCGTTATACTTAAAATTGTACAAACACACAGATTTAATTGTTATATAAAAATGCATGTATTTACACACATTCGAGGCCGTACTGTAGCCTATAATTGATCACAGTTCCTTCACTTTGTTTTGGATGTAGAGCTGTCTCTTTGACACTCAATTGTACACCACTTTGTAAAGCGGGGGTTTATAGTGATAATGAAGTCCGTCTTTCCGTTGGACCGGTACAATATGTTTCGTCGGTTTTGTAAGTTCATCTCCTCATAAACCACTTAATATACATTGTGGGTTCCAGCCATTTTTAAACGGAGAGGGGGTCCAACCCAGGAGAAAAGGGATTCCAAATATATGTTCCCATACAAATGCCGTCTACAAAAATCATCAGAAATATATTTGTATTGTCTGATGAAAGAAATTACACGTTATAGTTCCCTGGACAGTTCATAATATCACATAGACACGTATATACCTTCAAATTGCCGTTGTTTCTTTTTCAAAATCACGACTGGTCATACAGTCAAAAAATCTGAAATCGCTTCTAGAATACAGTCAGTTCTAGACTGATCGTACAGTAATTTATTTTGGGATCCTTAAGGAAAACATATTTTTTTATGGAAAATACGAATATTCTACTTAAATACGAAAAGAATATTGAAACAGTATATATTTAACTGTAAACTGATGCAAATATTTGCATTAAAAGATTATTTGCTTTGTACTACGAGAGCAAAATTGTCCATCGATTTCACTTTTTTCTATCAAGTTGGTGTGATGCACACGTATATTTTATATTCTTATGCATGTTTTTGTTACAGTTACTCATATTTATGATGCTATGCATACCTTGAAGATGTTCAAAGCACTTTATAGATATAGGAGTAAACAAATGATGAGAAAAGTCTCCGTAGGCAAAACCGTCCTGTTAGCCAGTTGGAAATCATCGCTTCGAAAATCGCGACTTCCAGATAGCGTACAGAATAGTATCTACACTGTGGACTTTGTATTTGATCGATATAGAAACTGGCATCACGTGGTATCCAACTCCAGTGAGTTGAGACAAAAATGTGTGGAAGAATCACATGAGATTATGTTCTAGTATGTTGGAACTTTTAACGCTTCTTTGTTTATCAGGTTTTCATTGTTTTAGTGTGGTCATACGATCAAACTCTTTTGCGTTGTCCAGTTTTGTCATTATTGCAACGGGAACGTCACCATCTAAAAATGGATAATTAACGATAGGAAATGAAAAATCATCTATTTTATCATATATTTTAGCATTAAGCTTTCCATTAATGATATAGATATCAAGATCGAGGAAAGGGCAGTGGTCATTGTTAGTATTAGCTTTATTTAAAGTAAGTTCAACAGGATACATTTCTTTAGTATACATACTGAAGTCGTCATTATTGAGAGCCAAAATATCATCCAAATATCTAAAAGTATTATTAAATTTGTGTATCAGATGTTGTTTCGATGGGTCTTTGCTGATTTGTTAGACATTTTCATAAAACTTGTCTTCTTTTACAACGTCGTTTGATATTTTGCACATTGTTGGTCATGTCGAAACAATATCACGGTCGGGACCCATTGAAGATGTTCTCTGACCTTGACATCAATATCAATTAATAGATTTTTAGGGACATTCTCGAGTTTACCCCGAAACCATCTAAATGTTCTTGTTTGAAAAGATCTTATTGTTGCACCTTAGGGGTTAATCTCAGGAGGCCATGATCCGTTCCCCTAAAAAATTTGATAAATTGTTAAACATATGAAAAATCAATCATTCAGATCCCCATCCATACACCATGAATATCATTAATTGTAAGGATAAGTACTTTCCATTCACCATAGATTTTTCTCCCTCAGTGATTGTTCACAGCCCCCTTATATCGCAATTATTTTTAAAACATCTCTAACACTGTTAATTCTCATTCCTAATCCATATATATTCTAAATTGCCACAATAGGACCTGTCGAGTTCAACGTGTCGCGGTCGACCCTCTAATGATGAATTTATTAAATATATCAACAAGTTCAGATGTCCACTCTTATATCATAAAAACCAAATTACCATCCCTGGGCGTCATGGTCCCCCTCATATGAAAAGTTGTTTTAGTATAAACATATTTTATTTGCAAAAGTAGCAAAAGGGATTGGACACAAGTTATAACAACATTAGTGACGTCCTCTCCCATATACCTTTGATAATGAAGAAAACATAATTGGAACGCATGTACTACAAACTATAACAAAAACGAACAAAAACAAAATACACGTTAATATTAGATCAGACTAGACTGGAGTGAAGTGTGAAAAAAGTAGGAATTCAGAATATTAGATCAGACTAGACTGGAGTGAAGTGTGAAAAAAGTAGGAATTCAGAATATTAGATCAGACTAGACTGGAGTGAAGTGTGAAAAAAGTAGGAATTCAGAATATTAGATCAGACTAGACTGGAGTGAAGTATGAAAAAAGTAGGAATTCAGAATATTAGACCAGACTAGACTGGAGTGAAGTGTGAAAAAAGTAGGAATTCAGAATATTAGATCAGACTAGACTGGAGTGAAGTATGAAAAAAGTAGGAATTCAGAATATTAGACCAGACTAGACTGGAGTGAAGTGTGAAAAAAGTAGGAATTCAGAATTTTAATTATATGTTCTGAATCTTCGTGTAATTCTGTACAGACAGAAATATTTCTATATTTTGCAGAAAACTATGGGTATCAGCCAATTTAAGCTCAATTGATATACAGCATTTCTCTTGCTTCATTGTGAAAAAAGAAACTAAAAAAAGTAGTGAATACAATCCTTTAACAAGATAGCCACAGCTGCATGTGGGATTGGGTTTAATATCGGCACGATGTAGGTCTGCATTTAAAGAACTGCACATATTTCTCAAACGTGTGTGTATAATATCAAGTTAGTTTCTATCACCACAACTAAAGTGGGAGGGTGGCTGTATTAATATAGTTTTTATCTTTCGTTTGAATTTCTTCATATTTCGGGAAGTCCGTATGTCGGGATTTAGGCTATTCCATTCAATAGTAGAATAGATGGAAAAAGGGTATTGTCTGGTTATATCTAGTCTCTAACGGAGTACTACATAATTGTTACTATTTCGCAAATCATGATTATCATATATTTGACAAACAAGTGGGGAAATTAAATCTCAGTGATAATCAGGGACAGACTAATTATGTAACGAATAGAACATATTGAGCTTTCTTGACTTTCTTCTGTCTACTAGCAATTGCCAGCCCGTTTCGAAATATATAGTTTGGCGTACACAGGCAGCCCAGTTACTATTCTCCTTGCTTTAAACTGAACGAGTAAGACCGTACTGTGACCTATAATGGTTTACTTTTACAAATTGTGACATCTTCTTATATCTATGTTCTTACATCAAATAATTTTTGTCAATATTTAACACTATAAGGTATGAAGAAAATCTGGATGATTCAGAATATTTTTCTTCTTGTCATCTGCTTGACCAGAATATTTTTTTCTTCATCAAATTGGGGATCAGTATATTTTTTTTAGTAAAAAAACCTAACCCCCCCCCCCACACACACTTTGAAGTTAAAGGGTCGTTCCATAACGATGTATATTCTTATTTGAAATAACAAGACCTTTTCAGTACTTGAATGTAATAATAATAAGATGTTTGTAATAATAAGAAGATGCTTGTAATAATAGGATGTTTGTAATAATAAGAACTATCTACCAAAGAAAAAAGCACAAGGATTTGAACAACTACATGTGATTGATCGCCGTTTAAAAAATAAGGAGATGTGGTTTGATTGCCAATGAGACAACTATCCACCAAAGTTCAAATGATGTGGATGTAAGCAATTATAGGCAACCGTATGGCATTCAACAATGAGAAAAACCCATACCGTATAGTCGGTTATAATGGCGCTGACATGAAAAATGTGGAACAAAATGGAACAATTAAATTGAGGAAACTAACGGCCTAATTTATAAATGTGACAACCACTTAACTACAGGCTCCTCACTTGGGACAGGCACATAAAGAATGTGGCGGGGTTAAACATGATTGTGAGCTCTCAACCCTCCCCCTAAGTTAACCTGGGACAGTGGTTGTACAGCAAAACATAAGAACACACTATAAAAATCGTATAAAAAATGTCTTTCAACAATGAGCATTACGTTAACACATACCGTACAAAAGGCCACAGGATAACAAAATGAATGTAAAACAATTCAAACTATAAACCAAGATTTTGATTTCTGCTGACACTAAACGAAAAACAATTATGACACAAAGCAACCAAGATGAAGAAATGGCAACCACTCAAGGGATTACACACGTTCCTTTTTGTTTGTGTTTTTCTTAATTTCACACACACACACAGTTGTTTTATTTCCAAATGTTAATATCATGACACAATTTTTACCATTTGTCATGATATTCTATCAACCCGGCCCCCTCTACATATGATCGTGGAATTTCGTGGAATTTCAACCCGGATTATATAAGGATCTGGATGGGGTATTCATTTTGGTATTCTGTTACTTTTTAGACGTTTTTTCTCTATTCTTTATTTATTGCCCATTATTCTCAATTCTTTATATTTCAGCACCCCATTATTCTCTATTCTTTATTCCTTTGCCCTATTTTTCTTCTTTTTTTTTATATATTTTTGGGTCTTCAATCTGCACTTTTTGTCCATAATTGGGAATTCTCTATATTTTAAACTGCAGTTTTATTTACACCAATAAGATATTTAGCAAATTTTATTTGAAATTTTGATGGCAAAAATGATAAATGTGCACGACAACGCGGACCTTCAAGAGCGCACTGCTTCGATTATCATGTGGCTGGTGTTTTCTCGGAAGTTCGCGTTACTGCTAGTCTTTCTCAAATCTACACAGAAGAACCGTTGTGGATCCAGGACTTTTTGTAAGGGGGGCGCTCCAGTCATGCTTCAGTGATTCCCTATATAATCAACCAATTTTTTCCCACAAAAGGGGGGGGGGGCCCGGGCCCCCCAGCCCCCCCCCCCCCCTGATCCTCCTATGTAGAATTTAGCTGCCACTGAAATTTTTACTATTTCTATTTAAACCATTGTGGTGACGTCAGCCTATTCATTTACCGTGGATTCTTTTTCTAGAATCAACGCTTCCTAAATCTGCCGCTGAAATTGACTCACCAAATTATATTCAATTGTTTCCTTTGTGTGCCTAATTTCATTAAGTTTGAATTGGCTAATTTACTGATTTTTGTTCACTAATGGAATTAATTTAAAAACTTACCTTTATTTTTTGTAATTTTTATATGCCTTCACTGGGAATCGAACCCTTTCTTGAAATCTGTTATGTGTGACTGACATCAACACATCGACGAAACCTCTCGGCTACCAATGGATTACACTATAGATGTCTATTTTATACATTTAAATGAACATCTGATATACATTGGTTCATCGGACACACAGGGCTTGTACCTTTATATAGAAACAATAGGCAGTCGTATAGTATGAGTTGTTAGCCGCGAGGTTAGCATGGTTAAAATCAATGAGTTAAAGATAGGGATTTGTCGGTTTAGGTTCGAATCCCTGTATTCTCTCTGTTGTTCCAATTCTTAAGTGATCCCGGTTTTTTTCTAATTGTGCATGGTATAGTGGATATTTTTGTAATACATGTAATAGCGAGTTTTACCGGTTTTTTTTTTTTTATTATTATTGGCTATTTCACATGTTTGAAACAAAAATGATTACATTCTATTTGTCAATTTTTGTTTTATAAATATAGTATGATTTCATCTGTTTTACTACATAATTTTACAAAGATTTGTTCGCAAATACCTATGCGAGAAAATCGTGATGTGCTTAGACTGCATGCTAGAAAAATTTCGATAACATACTTATTATATATACTTTATATAGGCTTTTTGGTCGGGTTGTTGTCTCTTTGACACGTTCCCCATTTCCATTTTCAATTTTATTAGAAATAATTTCGAATATGTCTTATTTTGAATAAACAGATAATATTCATATGCCTGGTAATATAAAGATCTTTAAAGGTAGAAGTGCTATATTTGTATTTTGTTAACCAATTAATTGTGATCTGAGATTTATCAATGCATCGTTGGACACGATAACATGGTTATTTAAACTCACTTACAATACCTTCTAATTAAGAAAAGGCTTAAATTTTGAAAAGAAATTAACACAAAAGTTTAAGTTATAGATACAATGGATAAGCGTAGATTCGTGAAAAACAAACCATTCGCCCTCCGGGCTCATGGTTTCTTTTTCAAGAATCCACGCTTATCCATTGTATCTATATAACTGAATATCCCGCCAGAATGACTTTTCATTTGTTCGCCGAAACCTCGTTGTGGTTAGCTTCGCGGAAGAAACTCGCCCAAATTCAGAAAGAGGCTAAAAATTAAATTTGCGGGCAGGTTATCGTACTCAATGTTAGTCAACAAAAGAAGAAGCCTGTTGTTACATTTGAACTAGTTGTCACTTAAACATTTTTCTACAAGAAGTTTCAGGTAAAGCATTGTAATTGATTTTTATCATGATTTCCCGACAAATATTCTTCATTTTGCCAAAATCGCGATGAAATATTTGCCGGATAATTTACCCGGCCAAATTAATACCGCCATCTTGAAAATTTTGTTTACGGGCATTGCAAATATAACGATTACATCGTCCTTAAGCTTGAATCAACATACTCAAGTATGAAGAAATCAAACACAGTCATATTGGAATATGAACGATCAATTAAATTGTGTATGCAAGTGTAAATTATATTGCTTCATTGTATTGCCTTTGTTGGCGGCATGTACGCGAAGATCTGGGTCACCAAGTGCTTTTAAAAATTATGAAGCTGCAACCGACGTGTTGTTCTTTTTTTAACATATCTAATGCGGTTTTTTCTTGAAAATTAAGAATAAAGGGTTAATTAGGTTTTTTTTTGTGATGCATAATGTCTGATTAAAATAAATATTTTTGGAGATAAAAGGGGGAATGTTGCTGCCGGTACCAAACCATTTCTGAAACATTGATATTATCTGGTTATGATCACGTCAAATGTTGTCTGCTCTATGGTCGGGTTGTTGTCTCTTTGACACATTCCCCATTTCCATTCTCAATTTTAAATATTTATTGTAGGAGCTATAAGATGCATGTCAATATTTGTAACTATTTAACTTTCATTATGACGTAGGTTTCAGCTGTGCCTTAAAACATTTCTAGTTCTACAGGTTTTTCTGTACTCAGATAAATTTTGTGGTCTTGCTTGCCAAATTGTGATGATCCTTAATCTATGTTTACATTTGCATAATAAATTTGAACATTGTACAACTTAAGGAAAACAAAACATGAATATCTTAATGAAATGGTTTAAACTATACAAAAAAAATAAAATAACAAAAATACAGAACTCCGAGGAAAATTTAAAACAGAAAGTCCTTAAAGGCAAAATCAAAAGCTCAAACACATCAAACGAATGGATAACAACTGTCATATTCCTGACTTGGTACAGGCATTTTCTTGTGTAAAAAATGGTGGTTTAAACCTGGTTTTATAGCTAGCTAAACTGCTCACATGTATGACAGTCGCATAAAATTCCATTATATTGACAACGATGTGTGAATAAAACAGACATAATAGGTAAAAATGTCAAAATTAGGGGTACAATGTATCTCCTATGTGCAAAACACTTATGTAAAATAATTTGTTTCCCTCATTGAAAACATTTCCAATCTTGTCACCCTATTAGACCCTGAAATAAATATTCAAAATGACTCCTAATCATTGATCAATTTAGCAAGAAATTACCAGCTGTTTTCCATGTACATGTAGGTCGGTTGCTCTAGGTTTTTTTTACTGGTTGACCTCTTGTGATGTGCCATAGGTGGGAAATGCATCAAAACACTGAACTGATCATGATTTGCTTTATATGAATTTGAAGAAATTATGAAAGTAGGAAACTAACCGTTGGAATTTGTCAAAAAATATGAAAGGAGAAAATAGATTAAAGTTACTTGTATTTGATTATTTGATTATTTGCTTTATTGTTGTTGTGGTTTCAGAATAGTTTCAAAGTTCTGTTTGGCCAGAGAGACTTTCAAGGACAAACATACTTTTTATGCCCTACCTACGATAGTAGAGGGGCATTATGTTTTTATACGACCGTCGTATATTCCGTCGTATATTGTTATGACGTTGGCGTTGTCCGGCGTCGTCATCGTCCGAAGACACATTGGTTTTCGCACAATAACTTTAGTTTAAGTGAATGGATCTCTATGAAATTTTACCATAAGGTTCAATACCACAAAAGGAAGGTTGGGATTGATTTTGGGGGTTATGGTACCAACAGTTAAGGAATTAGGGGCCAAAAATGAGCATTTTTGTAACTTCCAGACAATAACTTGTGTGTTAGTGTATGGATCTCTCTGACGTTGTACCACAAGGTTCCATATCACAAAGGGAATGCTGGGATTGATTTTGGGGGTAATTGCCTCAAAATTTTAGGAATTAGGGGCCAAAAAAGGGGCAAAAAACAAGCATTTTTCTAGTTTCATGACAATAACTTGCAAGTGTATGGATCTTTCTGAAATTGTACTACAAGGTTCCATATCACAAAGGGAAAGCTGGAATTGAGTTTGGGGGTAATTGCCCAAAACGTTTAGGAAAAAGGGGCCAAAAATAAGAATTTTTCTAGTTTCCAGACAATAACTTGTGTTCAAGTGTATGAATCTCTCTGAAATTGTACTGCAAGGTACCATACCTCAAAGGGAAGGCTGGGATTGATTTTGGGGGTAAATGCCTCTAAATTTTAGGAAAAAAGGGGCAAAAAAACAAGCATTTTTCTAGTTTCAGAACAATAACTTGTGTGTAAGTGTATGGATCTTTATGAAATTGTACTACAAGGTTCCAAATCACAAAGGGAAAGCTGGGTTTGAGTTTGGGGGTAATTGCCCTTAAAGTTTAGGAATTTGGGGCAAAAAAGGGGCCAAAAAACAAGCATTTTTACAGTTTCCAGACAATAATATGGATCTCTTTGAAATTGTACTGCAAGGAACAATACCACAAAGGGAAGGCTGGGATTGAGTTTGAGGGTGATGAATCATAAGGGGGTTCAAAAAATTGGGGTGAATTTGTTTTTTCCTTTTTTTTTTTTTCTTTAAAATTTTCCATTTTAAGTTGGTTATTTTTGATTTATATATAAAAGCAAATAATAATGATATGGTTTGATTTCATCAAAAATTGAAATATTGGGGTTCTTTGATATGCTGAATCTAATCGTGTATTTAGATTCTTAATTTTTGGTCCCGTTTTCAAATTAGTCTACATTAAGGTACTAAGGGTCCAAAATTAAACTTAGTTTGATTTCAACAAAAATTGAATTCTTGGGGTTCTTTGATATACTGAATCTAACCGTTTATGTATTTAGATTTTGGATATTGGACCATAATAGGTAAATTAAAAAATTTTTAAGTTCTTAGACCACATTCATTCTGTGTCAGAAACCTATGCTGTGTCAAATATTTAATCACAATCCAAATTCAGAGCTGTATCAAGCTTGAATGTTGTGTCCATACTTGCCCCAACTGTTCAGGGTTTCGACCTCTGCGGACGTATCAAGCTGCGCCCAGCGGAGCATTTTATTCGGTCTGTGCCTCCGTTCGTTCGTCTGTCCCGCTTCAGGTTAAAGATTTTGGTCAAGGTAGATTTTGATGAAGTTGAGTCCAATCAACTTTAAACTTAGTACACATGTTCCCTAAGATATGATCTTTCTAATTTTAAAGCCAAATTAAGTTTTTTGACCCCAATTTCACGGTTCACTGTACATAGAAAATGACAGTGCGATTGGGGCATCCGTATACTGTTGACACATTCTTGTTTTTATGCCCCACCTAGGGGCATTATGTTTTTCGGTCTGTGGGTCCGTTCGTCCGTCTGTCCTGCTTCAGGTTAAAGTTTTTGTTCAAGGTAGTTTTTGATGAAGTTGAAGTCCAATCAACTTGAAACTTAGTACACGTTCCCTTTGATAGAATCTTTCTAATTTATATGCCAAATTAGAATTTTGACCCCAATTTCACGGTCCACTGAACATAGAAAATGATAATGCAAGTGGGGCATCCATGTACTATGGACACATTCTTGTTAGTAATATTTATAAGGCCCTTTTGCCTGTTAGAATTTCAGATTGATTCAAAAAGTAGTTTTTTTTATACGACCGCAAAAAAATTTTTGTGGTCGTATATTGGTATGACGTTGGCGTCGTCGTCGTCGTCGTCCGGCGTCGTCGTCCGAATACACATTAGTTTTCGCACTCTAACTTTACTTTAAGTGAATGGATCTCAATGAAATTTTACCATAAGGTTCAATACCACAAAAGGAAGGTGGGGATTGATTTTGGGGGTTATGGTACTAACAGTTAAGGAATTAGGGGCCAAAAGGGGCCAAAAATAAGCATTTTTGTAACTTCCAGACATAACTTGTGTGTAAGTGTATGGATCTCTCTGACATTGTACCACAAGGTTCCATATCACAAAGGGAATGCTGGGATTGATTTTGGGGGTAATTGCCTCCAAATTTTAGGAATTAGGGGCCAAAAAGGGGCAAAAAACAAGCATTTTTCTAGTTTCATGACAATAACTTGTTTGTAAGTGTATGGATCTTTATGAAATTGTACTACAAGGTTCCATATCACAAAGGGAATACTGGGATTGATTTTTGGGGTAATTTCCTCCAAATGTTAGGAATTAGGGGCCAAAAAGGGGCAAAAAACAAGCATTTTTCTAGTTTCATGACAATAACTTGTTTGTTAGTGTATGGATCTTTATGAAATTGTACTACAAGGTTCCATATCACAAAGGGAAGGCTGGGATTGATTTTGGGGGTTTTCCCTCAAAATTTTAGTAATTAGGGGCCATAAAAGGGCAAAAAAAACATGCATTTTTCTAGTTTCAGGACAATAACTTGTGTTCAAGTGTATGAATCTCTCTGAAATTGTACTGCAAGGTATCATACCACAAAGGGAAAGCTGGGATTGAGTTTGGGGGTGATGAATCATAAGGGGGTTCAAAAAATTGGGGGGGGGGGGGGGGGGGGTTTCCTTTTTTTTCTTTAACATTTTCCATTTTAAATTGGTTATTTCTGATTTATATATAAAAGCAAATAATAATGATATGGTTTGAATAGGCATACATGTGAACCTCCCGACGGGAGTACAATAATCCCGTTTTCAGGGGTCTCCTCCCGACCTCCCGTTGAAGAGGAAAAAATCCCGTGTATGAAATTTTTCATGAATGAAAAATTTCTGCCCAACATATCATCTCAGGCATCTGGTGTAACTGACATCACCTGAAGTTATATTTTACCTGTGAATCAATTAACATGCATAATTATATGGCTTCACTTGTCAGCTTGGGTGTCAAACATACTGGTAATCAACGATTTTTACCTCAGACTAACTGCCAGTGTTCTCCCCAGGCCATTAAAGGACCACGGGCCCGCGATGTATAATTTTTTACCGCGGTGGTATCGTTCTTACCGCGATGTATAATTTTTCTCCGTGGTGCTAAAATTTTCAGTTAAAAAATCGTAAATCGGTAAAGTTTTAAACGACTTGTTAAATCTTTTCCGTGCGGTATAAAATTCCAGGTGAAATTTGACCAGTTCAAACCAGTTCAACACGGATTGTTTACACCACGTGATCCATTTACCTTTGTGAGGTTAACCTGTGTTGATTGGATTTAATCGATGTAATGAACACTTTTTACATGATTATTTTGTGTTTTAATTTAGAGATCATAACTTTATGATCATAGATAACTATTTTAAGGCTTCACTCATCACCTGACAAGTCGGCAAATACTTTGTACACAAACCGTGTTGACCCGATAGTTGTACACACGACGACACATATTTTGTACATTATAAAGTTAGCTCAATACTTATATTATAGTTTTATATGTCTCTGATTAAACCATTGCCAAAATTATCTTTAATTATGACATAGTTATTGCATGATATTCCGGTTTCAAATTGTCAACAAGTAATTCAAAGGGGAAGGATCACATGACCCAGTTAGTTCATGTAGAATATTCAAGATTATTTACAATTAACTGCAATCTATTCTATTTTATAAATAAAATGCATGACTGTACCTTCAAACTGAATATCTATATCCATATGATCATTAATGAATAACAGAAGTGATCTTGCAATTTTAATCCATAAGCACATGTTAAATCTATTTATATCTACTTCCTGTCATTTAGGCGGGAAAATATGGAGACTTTGTTGTTGACATTGAATATGTTACTTATAGATCAATAGACCTAAGATAAATTTATAGGAATTCTTTTTAAATGGATCATGACAAATAAAGATTTATGTTTCAGTGCAGTATTAAGTCTGTATCTATGTTTGATTATCACCAAAGACAAGAAAGGTTAATATTTACATGTACATGAAATCTATGGCAAAATGTTTTAAAATCTATGAAAAATTTCTTTTTATTAAAAATTAAGATAGAAACTGGTTCAAATTATAACACAATTTTGTTCTTGTTAATTATATATCTCCTTATGACAGGAATCCTTTCACATACAACAACTTTCTTTCTAGAAACTAGAAAGTTTTTTTTAAATTGAACATTTTTGTTCTCTTTTCAATCTGGGAACAGTATATCTAACAATATATATATGTTCCTGTTTGAATGATATTTTATTTTTATTGATCATGGATAAAAGATTTAATTACTTTAAATTTAGATGAATATTATGTAATGAATCATGTTTTATTTATTTTTAAAAAATATTAAAAAGAATACAAACTGCTTATTGATCTTTTTAACCAATAATATTCTGACATAACACAGTACCACAGTATTAAAACAAAACAAGAGACATAAAAACTGCAGTAACTAGAAATATAGCGACGCCACGCGACACAACTGATTGTATGAAACATTTCACCAAGCTGTTCACACGCGTTACCCTGGTGCTATCCAAAAATCCTGGGGAGAACACTGACTGCCGTTGTGTAACAAAAACTGTGTATTTATTGGGTTACTTCCCTTGATTTATCCTGTTTTAAGTTACTTTCCTTTTAATAATGAAAATTTATAAAAGAATATAAATAAAATATAAATTGAACAAATAATCATAAAAGGATGGTTATTAAATGATTTTAAATGTCTTAGGACAAATAAAAAAATAATAATTTGAAAATTATTTGAGGATTCTATACTTCCTTTCAAGGCTTAAATTGAAATTTATATAGTAACTATGACCCTCATTTTACAGATAGAATGATTTTCTGGGTTTGCAAATAAAAACTATTTGCAAGAGAAAAAAAAAATAAATAAAAACTATTTGCAGATAGCTAAACAAATGTTCTGGTTGCAATGATTGTTTTATAGAATATGAAGTAAAAAATTTAAAGAACATACTGGAAAAAAACAATGTTAGATTGAACATGTAGAATATAAAGATGGAGAAACTTTATTAGTACAAGGGTACTATAAACATAATAAATTGGATGGAAAGTTGAAGAAAACACACTTTAAAAGACCATTTTTACAGCACACGGTTACATTTACAACAAAATTAATGTCGATTAAAAACCTCCTGATCTGAGTCCTAATCTCCTGACCAAAATTTCCCAATCTCCTGATCTGAGTTTCACAGTCCATCACATGTATGAATAGGTAAATTGAAAATTTTTAAGTTCTTAGACCACTTTCATTCTGTGTCAGAAACCTATGCTGTGTCAAATATTTAATTACAATCCAAATTCAGTGCTGTATCAAGCTTGAATGTTGTGTCCATACTTGCCCCAACTGTTCAGGGTTCGACCTCTGCGGTCGTATCAAGCTGCGCCCCAGCGGAGCATTTTATTAACCATGATTAATGTGGTACCTAAATTACTTTTTTTTTTTCAGAAAAAAATAAAAGATGAATTACCAGAAGGTATATATGAATCACATACATTCAAGTTCTCTGCTATGTCAATTAGCACAGATGTGGAGAAGTCAGTTACTGTGTGATGCATTGATTTGTACAGGAAATGTTGTTACAAAGGTAAGTCATGCGGTAGACACCTAAGCATAAGTACACATGTAGTTGAAATGGGTTGAGAAATCAAAACTTGAAAGTACAACTGTGGATTCATTTATTTTAGTGGGTGCCAATTTTTGTGGATATTTGATTTTGTGATTCTGCCAAAGTTTGCCTCCAAGCCTATAGAAAATTTATTCTTTGTAGAACATTTGAATTTGTGTTACACCTAAACCCAAGATATCAGCCAACAACTCGTATCTCACGAATAATAGGAAATCCATAATGAACGAAAAACAGAATGTTGTGTACAAATATGCAACAGCTTTGAAATTACCTTATGGTAACAAATGCTCTTTTAAAGTAAACATTATTTGCTCAATAGTCATCGTATAGTAATCTAAACTTGTATGACAATAGCAAGCAAAAGGATACTGGATATCTTTTTCATTGTGAAACAGGATCAGTAATGAAACACTTTAACAGTTTTATTTTGCTAGAAATCTCCAATGTTTGACTGATACAGGAAATTATTCAAGTCGGTACATGGATTATCCACTAAACCCAACTTGCAGATTTCTATTTAGAAATTTTATGTTATGCAGATCCTTTTTACATACAATTTAATAAAGTGTGCATATTGCCAGAATTTAATTTTGTTTACAAATGACAGGATGATAACAAAAAAAAACAATAGTTAACCTTTTTCATTACACGATAAAGTAAAATGCATTTATGATGACTCTTCATGAGATAAGTAAAATGTACAGTTGGCGTTTTAACATCAGTTTAACATTCACAAAATACAATTGTTACAAATGTACATGTACTTGAACTTCATAAACTGATTTGGCACTTACCATGTACAATTTGTATTATTGAAATTCACATTTTTTTTTACCCCCCGTTGACCTAGAAAAACTTGAGTTTGAAAGAAAAACAACAATAAATTATCTTATATAATGGAATAAATCTTAACTATTGCAGGTGTATTAAATGCCTCTATAAGACACAATCATTTCAAGTTGTACTCACCGTTTTCTAAATCTAATGTTTTCGTCTCTATTTTCACATGCAAGAATATGTTTTGGTGATATTACACCTTTAAACTCCTTCATAATCCTAGTTAACTTTTTAATTGACTAATTTTGCAATCACCGTCCATCTCTTAGCAAGACCCCAATGTGCAGTGATAAAATCCTGAATGCTGGTAAAAATCTCAAGTTTTGTGATTGGGTTATTCCATTCATTGCTTGGGTCTGGAAAATCTGAATTTATTAGTCCCCTATAGACGAAGTCGAAGGGGACTTTAGGTTTGCCCGTCCGTCCTTCTGTCTGTCTGTCCATCTGTCAGTCCGGCATATCAGTTTTCCAGACTTTTTTGCTTCGTGCTTGAAGATATTGATTTGATATTTGGTTTATTGATTTATCATGACAAGTTACAGGTCAAGTTCAATTTTCACGATTTTAGCTTTTCTCTTTGTTCAGTTAAAGCCCTTTCCCTAGAATTAAATTTTTGATGAAATACTTATTAATTAGTAGATTTCTGTTCAAAGGGAAATAACTTATTTTTAGCTCACCTGACCCGAAGGGTCAAGTGAGCTTTTCTCATCACTTGGCGTCCGTCGTCGTCGTCCGTCGTCCGTCGTCGTTAGCTTTTTACAAAAATCTTCTCCTCTGAAACCACTGGGCCAAATTTAACCAAACTTGGCCACAATCATCATTAGGGTATCTAGTTTAAAAAATGTGTCCGATGACCCCGCCAACCAACCAAGATGGCCGCCATGGCTAAAAATAGAACATAGGGGTAAAATGTAGATTTTGGCTTATATCTCTGAAACCAAAGCATTTAGAGGAAATCTGACATAGGGTAAAACTGATTATCAGGTCAAGATCTATCTGCCCTGAAATTTTCAGACAAATCTGACAACCTGTTGTTGGGTTGCTGCCCCTGAATTGGTAATTTTATTGAAATTTTGCAGTTTTTGGTTATCTTGAATATTATTATAGATAGAGATAAACTGTAAACAGCAATAATGTTCATCAAAGTAAGATCTACAAATAAGTTGTCATGACCAAAATTGTCAGTCGACCCCTTTAGGAGTTATTGCCCTTAATAATCAATTTTTAACAATTTTTCGTAAATTTTTGTAATCTTTTACAAAAATCTTCTTCTCTGTAACTACTGATACAAATTTAACCATACTTGGCCATAATCATTATTAGGGTATCTAGTTTAAAAAATTTGTCCGATGACCCCGCCAGCCAACCAAGATGGCCGCCATGGCTAAAAATAGAACATAGGGGTAAAATGCAGTTTTTGGTTTATATCTCTGAAACTAAAGCATTTAGAGCAAACCTGACAGGTGGCAAAAATGTTCATCAGATTTAGATTTATCTGCCCTGAAATTTTCAGACAAATCTGACGACCCGTTGTTGGGTTGCTGCCCCTGAGTTAGTAATTTTACAAAAATTTTGCAGTTTTTTGTTATTATCTTAGATATCATTATAATATCTAATATCTAATTCTATTAATTATGATTTTAACCTTATTTTACATGATTTCTAAAGCATCTTCATAAATTTTGTAAATTTTTGTAAATTTTTACAAAATATTTTCCACTGTAACTACCAGGCCAAGTTCATTATAGATAGAGATAATAGTAAGGAGCTAGAATGTTCAGTAAAGTAAGATCTACAAACACATCACCATCACCAAAACACAATTTTGTCATGAATCCATCTGTGTCCTTTGTTTAATATGCACATAGACCAAGGTGAGCGACACAGGCTCTTTAGAGCCTCTAGTTTAAAAGACTTTTAAAAGACAAAATGACATTTTGGATTTTTAACCTTTTCTTTGGTAAATTGTTTGAATAATTTAGTTGTAGGTTTGTTTGTCATTCTTGAAGAGATTGATTTGATAATACATAGTTTTATCATGACAAGTTACAGATCAAGTTGGAATTTTGTTCCAGTCTGATAATTTTGTGCAGAGTTACATGTATGGTCTTTGGACATAGAAAATTCACTTAAATAATCAGTTTTCAACAATTTTTTTTTGTCATGCTTGAAGATTTTGACTTGATATTTTTATGTAGTTTACACCATGACAAGTTATAGATCAAGTTAGAATTTCGTTCCATTACAATGAATTTGTAACCGGTGGGGGACTATGTATTGCCATGCAATACTCACAGAATGCTTGTTTAGTTTTTAGTCTCTGCCTATCCTGTATTTGCTCAAAAAAGATGGTTGCAAAATTTTAGTCAATTAAAAGGATAAAAATCATGTTAAAGGTTTCTGAAGGCAATATAGTTATTCTTGTTATTGTTTTGGTTGGGTTAGCATATTCTGCTCCACTAATGGCACCCATCTTGTTGCTCGTGGCAAGTAAAACTGAATGATAGATCACATTTTGTAAGAGGAAGGGATTGTGGATAGGCCAATTATTATGTTTGTTAATGGTTTCCTCTTGATGGTAAGAAAGAATTTTCTTATTTTGTTTATTAATTTTTACCTTGAGTATAAGTGGACATCTCAGTCTGCACCAAAAATCTTTTCCAACTACTAGTCTGAAGATCTATATTCCGACATTTATTTTGTGCGACTAAACAAAGTTTTGAAAATACTTACTAGTCTGGGGCATAGGACTAGTGGTTAACAGTTCAGACTGTATCTGCAATTTTGTCACAATTTACTACCAAAACTTTAGGGTTAGCATTTTGAGGCATTAAAAGGAGCAGGGGTATAGAAGCCTTAACACAATAGATTTGTTGCCCTATGACAAGTTGAGCATATCAGTGACACACATATACAATGTACCATAATGATGAGCCAACTCGAAAGAAATCAAAACTTTCAAATGGATGACTTAATGATTTCTAATTGTATTAAGTTTAAACATCTGTCACCTTTATTTATTAATTGATAAATATTAAGCTGTACTGGATTTCTTTATAAAGTTAACGTTTTAATCCATTGTTAACAATATGTTATCCACAAAGGGATTCATTTATCAGATGGGTTGATTGGAAAAAAGTATGATGCTTGTAAACTACATTTATCTTTAAAATCCTACCGGTAAGGCCCCCAAAAAATAGATCTCTGTTTCCTGTCTCCAACTATTATAAAATGGTGTAGGTCCATCAGGATTTTATTTTATTTATATGCATATTAACCAAATCCAGAAAAATCACATGTTTTCTCCTAGTTTGATATCGATCCGATTATACACTTATGCAGGCTGTAATTTGCACAGGCCTGTTGATAATTATAGAATTTTTCGATGGTTTGATAAGTTTTACACTGGATATGAATTGATCTTATTACAAATTTGAGTTGAAAATCCAGCAGAAATTGGATTCATAGTCTAATAAGACTTCTAGCCATGCTTTTTCTTGGAATATATTTTTTGAAAGGCAATAAAATATTTTGGGCTCTGCGATCGAATTTAGAGTGGGTTGGGAGGCAGGAAACCAGCATATATTTTTTTTAGCCCAAGTTCAATCTGCTGTACATTTGATAAAATAATTTCAATCTTTTATCTTCTTAAAAATTTTAAATAATGTTTTCTTTTCTCTTTATGTACACAGGCACACAGAGTTGTGCTTTTGGCAGCTTGTCCCATGTTGCAATCAATGGAAAATGCATCAATTGGAACCGAGTTGGAGGTTCGTCTAGCTGCTGATATTAAACAGGATGCTGTAACCACATTCTTGCAATATTTGTATGAGGGATTTATGTTACTTACTGAAGAAAATGTGAAACATGTAGAAAAAGTAGCAAGGTTGCTTCAAGTAGACAGTGTGATCAAATGTTGCTCAGACTTCTTCAAATGTCTTGAAAAATCCACAGGAAAACAACACAATGCTAATTATAAATTTGACAAATATGACTTGCTTGAATTCCGTCATGTGCGAGCGACTGGCTTACAAAAAACTTATCATGATAGACTAATGAAAAGGATGTCAGAAGCTCCCCGCCCATCTAGTCCCACCGGAGGGAAACGTCAAAGATTACATCCTCGTCCTTCCTCCCCACCAACTGACTTCATGTCACAAAGAGCTGATGATGCTGCATCAATGACACAAAGTTATATGACAGGAAATCCTTCTGGAGCAGGAAGTGTACGATCAGGTGCTTCAAGTCAGTCAAGCAGGTCAGGTTCACCGTCAGTTGTAGAAATAATAGAGGACAGTTTAGAATTAATTCAAAGAGAAAAGTCTGGCCCTGGGCAACCAGAACCATCACGATTAGCCCAGCAAAAGACATCAATTTCTGTAGCATCACACATTTCAAATACTAAAGACACTCGTGTGATAAATATTGCGGATGACAGCGGTGGGGGAAGGACCCGTGTAACAGACTCTTTTAGTGATCGTGTTCAAAATATTCCAAGTTCACCACAGCAATCATCACAACCTCAAATGCCAGTCTCGCCAAAGATATCATTCCGAGATACTCATCCTCCTCAGAACATTCAACATCCATCACCTACATCATTCATCCAACGTACACCAAATCAAATGAGCTTTACCTCACAACCACCTCCTCCTCCATTACAGCAAGCTGGAACATTAAACATTGCTCCATTATCTCAAACATTCTCACAGGATCGTTTCCAGCAACGTCCACAGGAACAACAGTCTAGTCAGTCTCGTCCACCACCAATGTCCACTGACATGTTTATGGAAAGTGTTAAAACGTCACAAAGTTTCATTACAAGTACTCCCCAACAACGAACTCATCCATCATATCCTCCCATATCTGGTGCTAAACCGTCATTTGCTATTGGAAGTGCTGCACAAGCTGGTGCACCTCCACAAAGTCCATCATTCCAAAGTCAATCAACTAGTCAGCAACAAGAATCCACTGGAATGGCGGACAAGGGTGAAAAACGGGAGGGAGAAAGGTTAGTTTTCTTCAAAATACAGAGTAGTGAAACAGTTTAACTACACCAGAACAAAAAGTTGTCATTCTATGAGTGTTGCTAAATACTGGATCACAAAATAGAAAGTTAGAATGCCTGTAAAAACAATGAAATTCAGTTTTCAAATTACAATAACTTTTCACTGAAATTTAATTTTGATACAAAAATTGTAGTTATTAGAATTACACTTCCCTTCAAACAGTTTTAAATGTATTACAAAATATAAAAGAAAAACTGAAGAAAAGAAATTTGCAAGTATTAAAATGGAAACTGTTAAAACATTGTCTTATGAATTTGAAAGTCCAAGCCTTTTGTAATGTGTGCTCATATCTTTTTCAGCTCAAGGCCACCAGAAGGTCATGATCCAGGTCCAGAAGGAAATGATGATACTCCGGACTTGGCAATAGTGAAAATAGAAAAAGTGGGCGAGGATGAAACAGGTGGACTTTTGTTACAAGTAGATAGTGGGCAAGGTGATGCCGCTCACCGGCATGGACAATTAAGTATGGAGGAGGAACAGGAGTATGATGAAAGTGACCTAACAGGCGATTGGTCACAGGAAGATATATCAAACGAAGGCAGCTTTCAATCATCGCATATGGACGATCCAACAGGAGCTATGTACATGGGGCCAACATCAGGTAGGTTTCTTCTCTATTTCCTTATCATTTATTAGTTGCAGTTAAAATACTCAGTTATCACAGTTCAACATAGCAACCTTGATAAGAAGTGGCTAGAAAAAAAGTAATTAAAAAGATTGGTGTCATCAAGATACTCTTGATTTGAATCTCCTTTAGTAGAATGATGCAGGTCCACTAAGTTTTACTGTAAAATATTGACAGGTTTCAAATTATATTTAAATAAAAGGATTCAATCTGAAAATCTTTTGCTTTGAGGTGGGAATCTGAATACAGAGCAAATAATCAAGGTTGATATGAAGAAGTACAAGCTCATCATTGTCATTATTTGCTATTTTTTTGTGTTTTTGCAAGCCAAATTTGAGATAAAATTAGGATACATTTTGTATGTACAGTAAAATTAGTCTGCTTTAGAGTTGGCATTGATTATTGGAAATAATTGTCTACATCTATTTAAAGAAATATTTAAAAGGTTTATGGAAAAATTAAAAGCTTAAAAATTTGGTAAATGATATTAAAGTGACACGAGTAAGCCATTAAGCATTAATTTAAAAAAATCGTGAAAGATTTTATTTGTTCATGAAATAAATATAAGTTTAGAAATTTCAGAAGAATTTTATTGATTTGGCTTGTAAAATCATATTGGAAATGTAAATTGTAGCTATACAGAAAAGGTAGGTGGCCTTGGCCCTGTTGTACTTTTTGACATCAATGATAAATATGGGAGGAAAATGTCCTCTAAGAATTGGTCTTAATATAGACTACTTTGTGCTGCTTTAGATATGAAAGAATTTTTAATTAATTGAAATTAGATAAGCTGTTAAACTTTGTAAGTTATTGTTAAAAAGATGATATCAAATTTCAACAGGAATGACAAAAAATATTTATTATTCAGAAATTGATAATGTTGATGTCAGAAATACACATTTAGTCATTATTACAATATGAATTGCAGGAAAGATAAAATTTGGTTGCTAAATTTTGGTACAACTTAGTAATATGAGACTTTGACAGAAATGTATTCAAACCATGGAAGTAACAGTCATTTAAAATAAGGTTCTCAATTGGAGGTTTTGTAGAAGACGATCAATTTTTTCTTATAAGAAAAACTTGAAATTTTTCGTGATACATTTCACTAAAATACTTTACACCTTTCATCAGGAATTTGTAGGCAGCATATCAGCAGTCGTCATTTGGTTTTTAGAACTCTTAAGTACCAAATTTATCTTTCCTGGTATCTTTGACAATATGCCAATATAACTATGATTCCAGTTGCCAATTTAGTTACATAATTATGTCGGTATGATTCCAGTTACCAAAAAAGTATTGAATCTCAATTTTGTGTGTGGTCTTCAAAATTTTTCTCTTTGTTTTTCCACCAAATTCAGAAAATTGATCAAATGTAAGAAAAATGTAGGTTTGAAATTTAAGGCTCAAGACAACTAGGGATATACCTTATAAGGACTGGCAACTGGAAACATGAACACATGTATATATATTTTCATAATTTTAGGCTTTTAATTTTCATGTAAATCTAATGTCAGTGTCATTTCAGCTACTTGTCAATATATTTGCATGGTCTTGTGGATAAATGAAATTTTCTATATAGAAAGAATTAATCAACGTGGATTTTTGGCCAGCTTTGTATTACAATACAATAACAACCATGCAGACATTTTGACAAGTAGTTATTACAGTTGGTCTTTGAACAATCATCTGCATAGTAACATGAGTAACAAAGAACAGTTATTAATGAATTAGATAGAATACCATTAAACCTGACTTGAGTACAGAAGATAGGTGATCGAGGGCATAATTAAATATGGACAAGACCTTCAAATGGGCCCATGATAGATCATACCATTTACTAACCTGACTTGAGTACACAAGATACAGGGTCTAGGGCATTATTAAATGTAGACAAGACCTTTAAATGGGTTCTTAATACCATTGACTAACCTGACTTGAGTACACCAGATAGAGGATCTAGGGCATAAAAATTAGATGTGTAAAGAGTAACTTGAGTTCATGAGACAAAAATATGAGACAAAAAAGATGAGACAAAAAGACAGACAAAATGAGTGAATTAGATCAGGTGCAACAAAGGAGCACCAAGGAACATCTACAGGTTTGATTAGGTTGTAAATGACACTGACAAAATTATTTCTTTAATAATGTAATGTTACTTGATTCAGAATCTGACTCCTTGTGTTGATGAAGTAATGCTACTTATTTTAATTTAAAAAAAAGGAAGAAAAGAGGAAAGAAATTGACAAAGATTATGAGATGCATAAAATATTTAGGTATAAAAATTAATGTGAATTGTATTCAGGCTACACAGGAGTATAGATTGACAAGTAGCCTGGTTAAATAGCTGAATAAATGTTTCATTACTTGAGATCTGGAGATTTGGTTATAGAATTTGCATTTTTAATGTACCAAAATTGGTTCCTTTTGTCTAAAACAAATTATCAAAATTATGTTGGTACATGTACCTATATAAATGATTCAGATCAGATAATTGACTAAAACAACAGGTACACATATGTACCTAAAATTTAGTGAAATGATCCAAAGATATCCATCAGTCATAAAGCACATGATGTGATGAAACATTTACAGTTATATTGAAATTGGCAAACATGCAGTTACTTTTGAAATTCAAACCTTTCAAAGAAACATTGTCTTTAATAGAACTTAAGGGAAAAAAATAACTTTGATTATGTAACTTTTTGCTGGGAACCTTTCTAGTTAAAAAGCAACTGCATGGACTGTTTTACAGCTACAATATGATATGAAATTTACATACATGTATTGGGAAACCAACTTTATTTAGAGATTCATTTTAAATATCTATATCTGGGTGTTGAAGTTTTGAGAATAAAAAAATGTCTAGTTGATCCTTTGTGTCAGTATCTGGTACATGTATGTATTATTTCTGATTTTCTTTAAATTGTCAAAAGAATTCGTAAATAGCAGGTCAAGAATATGTGTTCAACATCTTCATTTCACTGTCAAATTTATGAATAGATATTTGATGTGATTTTATTAATCACATTTCAATTTAAGAAAAAAAATTATTATGAACATTTTAATGAATATTTGAAACACAAATTCTATACTAGTTATAATGCCCATCCCAAATTTCCCCCAAGAAGACAGAAGAACAGCAAAGGATCAAGATAACAGATAAAGAACTTTTTCATTATAAATTCCAAGAACTGATATGGGTTAAAAAAGTTTAAAACTGATTTTTTTATATTTTGTAGTATTTCAAGCACAACTTGTAATTGTTGACCAATTTTGTTAATCAAAAAGTAAACTTTGGTAAAATTGAATGTAAAACAATTATAGTTCATTAGTAATTTGGTATTTATAACTTAAAAGATTTTTCTTTCTTAGTAATTTGACTTCTAAATTTAGTCTGCTTCATTCTGATAACAAAATGATACATGATGTTCTCTTAACATCTTTCCATTGACAAATACCCCAAGTTTTCTTTATATTCATTGTTCAATGTAATAAAAAATGAATGCAAGTTAAAAGCATTTAAAGTATAATGAAATAGTTCTACAGGTTTGTATTTTTGTTTTATTTGCATCAACCATTTATACATTGAGCTTGTAAATGTGATAACTGGGTATTTTGATCAGTTCATTTCAACAAGATGTTTCCATTCTTCAAATCTTAAATGAAAATCGCAAGATGCTAAGAATCTTTTTTCTGTGACTGAAAAGTCATTGGACTTTGATTTGAGGCCAGGAAAATCATCAGAAAATTTCCTGGCTCTTACAAATCCAAAATTTAAAATTTGTGATCCTTTACAACCAGAGATATTCATTTAAATTTGTGTATATGGTAAATCTATCTTGATTGAAATGAACAATAATGCTTTAACAACTGGTGAAGAAAATTTCATATTTATGGTCCTAAAAGATTGGTGTCTGTCATTGCAATGTTCGTTAGCCATCACACTAGCTCTCTTTGCTGTTGCTTCATGATACATCGAAAAACATATTCAGAAACAAATATCCAAATGTCCATAGCTGATGACCTTTTTATAGGTTCTATGCAGTCACAGGATATGTTCAAGATATTTTTGAACAAACGCAATGAGCCATACACTTTAAAATACATGTATTGAAGCAAACATATTGCAATTTCTAGTTAGGCTTGACAGCTTGGGCTTGCTTTCATGAAAGAAGGAAGGATAATAGGACAGTAAATAGAAATTTACAAAAACAAGACACACATATGAAAAATTGCAGCATTTTAGAATCAATGGATCTTTATTTCAAAAGTATATATAGTGATCGATATGGTACAAACTTTTCAAATCACAGAGCTAAAGATTGAGTGGACAGACTGCTTTTGTTAACACACTAGTAGGCCCTACCCACTTTCCTGCATTCTATAACCAGACACCTTGCCAAGTGCAATTGACAGATCCCAATTCAATAAGAAATTCATGAAACCAAGCTTTATTCAAGTAGTTGACGAAATCATTTTGGTAGTAGTGTGGTCCTGCGGATACTGGTGTTGGTGTCTTGTTTGTGAATTTACTAAACATTTGTTACATATTATTATGTTAGGTGTAAACGTTCATGAGACAGATGTTATAATGGACCGGGTAAGCAAGGAGCAAGTGAGACTAAGAAAACAAAAAAATGCATTCCGTTTCAAACTGCAAGAAGACATGAATAGTATGTTTCTCAATTTCGCCTTTCTTGGAAATAGATTACAATGTGAAATGCTGCCAATGATCTTTGAAAAAGATGTCACCAAAGATTTTTTCATGTCTTCTTTCTTTACCTAAAAATACAGTACATGAAAAGTTTTCTGAGTTTCTTTGTAAAACAATATTTTTTAAGAATTGAATTATTGAATTTGCTAAATTGTGAGAAAAAAGTGCATATTCACTATGCTTTCTATTTGACTAATGTTCATTTGCTACTGGGAAACAAATTAAGGTGTTTTGACAAGTTGACAAAAGTTAAGTTATT